AGACGAAAGGGAAGAGGGAGAGGAAAAAGGGGGAAAAAAAGAGAGAAAAAGAGAGAGTTCTCGCTCATTTATTACCTGATAGAGAATTGGCCAAGCTTCCTTCGAGGTGATCTCTAGGTACTCAGTTTCGACGTTACTTATCGCCGTTTCGCGTGTTTGCTCCTGGTTGTCGGTCATCGTGTCGGCCTGTTCGTAATTCTTACTAGCGTTCGGCGCTCACGGCAAAAACGACAAGACGACGAGAAGAGGCGCGAGAGGAAGCACGAGAGGAGGCACGCCAAGAGGCTGGGCCCCGCTCGCGCGCGATACCTTCTCTCCCGCTCTTGTCTCGCTCCCTCTCCTTCTTCGCTCTTTCTCGCTTTAACTCCTTTCTTTATTTCTTTCTTTCGTTCTTTCCTTCCTTCCTTCCTTCCTTCTTTCCTTCCTTCCTTCCTTTCTTTCTTATTCACCTTTTCGTTTAAAAGGCGTTTCAACCGGCAAGGGATGCCATGCGCGAGCCGGACACTCGCGCGAAGGCTACCCTTCGCTTCTACACTGTCTGAACTATGTACACGAACGAACCAACGAAAGACGAACGAACCCACGAATGAACACGGTAATCCTTACGGAATACCTACGGAAAACGGAGACGTGCTTACTCCCGTTTCCTCCCTTCCACAATGAGTCACTAACGCAAAACCATATCACTACCGGCAGCACCAAGCACTTTACTACACGATCAAGATCAAACGTACTCCCTCACTACTCCAAACACTGTTGACATCAACGTCGTTGTAAACGCTAATGTGAAATGCGATGAACAGTGCTGACATCTGAATTCGCGAAAAGTGAGGAGAGAGCAAAAGCAAGAGAGAGAGAGAGAGAGAGAGAGAGAGAGAGAGAGAGTGGGAGGAAAAAAGATGGAAAGAACAAGGAAGACCGTATTTCGACGAAGCATCTTCGATACTCCTCTCTACCGTACTAATACATTGACGAAACGCGCGACAAGTAATTTCGAAATTGTTGCACATTGATTTAAAAGCAAATTCCTCAAAGCATCAATATATAGTTTTCCTTAGAAATATTAGTACGCAATTCCATTTTTTCTAATGTTGTATATTCTGATTACGTGGAAATCAACGTCATTTAAATTCGATTATTACTTATTATTGATATCTTAGAAAAGAAAATATAGGAGAAAAAACAGTATACACTAAATGAATTGTTTGTCTTCTCGTGAAATATTTACGACGATAATAATCATAACGTAGTTAAATTTCTCATTGAAAGAAAGAATAACATATTTATTATATGAAAATGTAGGGACAATTTTAAAAATATTTATTGATGATTTAAGATTTCTTTGTTATTTTTGCAGGTGTCTCATCTTCATTTATCTCCTCTTCAATAGAATTACTGTTCATTGTAATGTTTCTCTTGCTAGATTTTCCAGATTCTCTTTTCAACCAGGAAGCCATAAAAATTGCAGAGCTATTCTTTTGTTTCTCCCTTTATATAATACAATTACAGAATCAATACTGTGACATGTTACTTTATCTATTTAAGCATGCATGTTCTGTTATTATATTGTAAAGATAAAATTACATAATGCTATGTATATACATACTTCACTTTTATTTGCTCTCTGCATTTTGCATCTTTATGAGATACGTTGTTCACAAGTGTAGAAACTGTATACCAACTTAAAACTTTTTCTATTAATTTTTGTTCCTTTAACATTTCTACAGCTTTATATGGCGACACTTCTAAATCCAACCACAGCTAATGATAATAATTGTAATATTTGATTGTTAATAAAATGCATTGAAATATATTTTTACGTTTTAAAAACAAAAAGAAATATATATAAATTATTAAACGATTTGTTTATTTATATACTCATATAGACGTACTTGACACTGTTCTTCATCTAGAAAAATTGGCATACGATCATGTAACCAAGACAAAACTTGATTTGCATCTTTGGTAAGTACTGAACAGCTATATATAATTTTTCCCTGTAATATAACTATGTTAATTGTAGTTGTTTTTTGATAAATATAAATGAATATTATATAAAATATTCATATGTACCTCAACAGTTTTAAATGTATTAAATATTCCAGCCATTTTTAAAGGTTTATATCCTTTCCACCCAGATTCTAAGGACCATTTATCAGGCCATGTTTTAGGATCATCAACTTTTATATCTGATTCTTGATTGGCATAGATATAATATGGTTGCTTCGGTGATTTATTCTTACCAGCTTTCCATTCGTAGAATCCATCAAAAAGTACGATACATTTGAATCCTTTATGCAATGGTGTAGCATAAAGTTTAGATTCTAAGATTCGATCGAGACGACTGTTATGTGTAGACGCAGTGTGTTTTTTATAATCTCCCTACAAATTAAATTTTCTAAATGAATCTCAGAAAAAATATATGAATATATTAAGCTACGTGATTTAATTTTTGTTAGTTTTATGGAATATAAATATACTTTGACTAACCTTATGCCAAGGTGGTATCATACCCCATAACATAGGACAAAGAAGCCTTTCCTGGTTGTTTTTCAAATGTGTACCAGCGACAACACAAGGAACAATATCTCTCGGACCTATGTTGCAAGATTGAACATAAACTAATTCATTGCTATCCATCCATGGTACTTTATGATATTCACCTGAAGATTTTTTGTATGCACAAGCACAAGACAGTTTTTCTTTTGACAAAGTACTGAAATAGAAATGTAAATTTTAAATATTTTTTTATGTTATATTAAGTTAACTATAATCAATTAAAAACAAAATTGCGTACCATGCACATCGACCGCACATCTTACATCTACCTGTTCAAGCGTTTTGCGTCTTGAATATCAACGGTTATATTTATTTCTATATCGATTTATTTTAATAAAGAATAAGCATTATTTTCTCATAATTATTTTAAACAGAATTGTTTAATATAGATATAATTATTTTTTAAATATTTTTTCTTAGAAAAGTCAGAAATGTTAATTGCAAATATTAACATATAATTTTACAATACATAATAAGATAATATTAAAAAAAAAATTGAAAACTATTGTAAACATGAAAAAATTAATTTCCTATTTTATCATTAAAAATTGTTTGAAAATATACATATATAAATCAATTAATACATTTAAAATAAGTAAATACCGCGCGCAAAAAAGCAGCCAATCAGAAAACAGCTGCCATGTTTCTACTACGCGTTCTATTCTACATATATATATATTGACGTTATATTCAGCGTATTATAAGATAAAGAGTAACAGTAGAAAGGCTAACGTTAGTTTACATTTATGCGCATGTGTAAAGAATCAATTCTATTTTAGTAGTTTCATATTTTCCCGCGTAATTTGGCAATAAAAAAGTATCTATAAAAACGACGCGCGCACATTTGCCATTTAATTAATTTTATTATTATTAAATTAAAATAACGACAAATTAAATTTTAAGGCTATTTTTGCAGAGAGAATTATAATATATTTTTTAATCATTTACGAATATCTTTATTCATACCGACATGTTTTTTATGTATTAATAATTTAATTCTTTAGTGGTATATGTACACGTTTGAATTATAAATGATTTGCCATTGTTCACTTGGAAGTAAACATCATAAACGAGATTTCTCTAGGAAATATCTCAAGGTAATAAAGAGGAGCTCTTTCTCAAAAAGAATTCATTAGCGTCGTAAATTAGAGGATGCAGTTCAACGAATGTTTTGAAAGGTGAAACGAAGCATATACGTTTGAACGTGCATATATACGAGAGAAGGAATGCGCTTGATCTCCCCGCACTTACCATTCTTCTACAATGAGCTGGAAGAATACTCGAATACCAGATAGAAAGTATATGTAAAGTATATACGTTTTTGTGTATGTGTAGTATATATAAAAACTGTGTTTAAGATTTTCATAGCGTAATGGTTTTCTATATTTATTAGAACGAAACAAGTTATATTTCTATCGTAAAAAATCATTGTAAATTCAATATTATAGATATAAATTTTTTGTCTACTTTTCGTATTCATGTCGTTCCGTTTTCTTTTTCTTTTTTTTGTTTCAAATATAGTATTTATAAATTGTAGTTTTTATTTAATATTATTAATATTTTCATTAAGAGATACTAAAATGTTAGAAAAAGTAAAAAAAAATTGTACTAATTAAATTATAATGAAATAATAAAAGATGTATAATAAATGTAAATATTCTCACATATTAAGAAAGGTCGGTCGAAACGAATAAATTCGTGAAGGTGGGAACTACCTGAATACCCAAATAAATAGTAGTCCTTCAGAGGATAAGGAATTCTTAGCACCGTTCCGTGGAAGCACTTCGGAGAATCCGGTTGAACGACTCGATCATAGGCTTGCCAAGATGAATATAGAAGTTGCCACGTAAAATCGCAGTTGGTAGGCAAAAATGTGAAATACAAAAGTAAAATAAGAAATATATATATATGTGTATACATATATATATATATATATATATATATATATATATATATATACACATACATATATACATTCAGACATTACAAGGTAGGATCAATAAAGATATCCGAAGGACAGTGAAAGTATATTTGGGGTAAGTTTGAAGGCTAGAGAGATCATTTTTGATCGAAAGAAGAAAAAGAATAAAAGGAAAATCATATAGTGATCGGTCGTTCAAAGTAGGTACTATTCAGTTAGCATGACTAAACCTCCTTCTATAATAAAATCCTTTTTCCTATAACGATGGTTTCCTTCATCGGTCCGCATTCTGAATCGTTCAGGTAACGTGAAAGTGAGCAACAGCGGTGCTCATTGTCGAAAAAACGGGGAATCTTTTCTTTCATAAAAATACTTTATGACGAATGATATTTAAGGATTGATATCTATGATACGACAATAATTTCAATAACGTATAGAGTACGATATAATTGTACAGCTACGAGTGCGATAACGAATGAAGATCAAGAAGTTCATATTAGATAATTATAAGAAAGTAAACAAGTATTTCAGGAAGCATCGATCAGCTAAGATAAATAGTGCAAACATTTAACGCGAACAAATTCATCAACGATTCTATTTTATTAAATTTTTCTACTTCTATTTCTCATTGTAAACTGTGTAAAAGATGGAAAAAATATGATAAGTTAATATTTTAATCCATATATTTTTCAACGTTAGTTTTCAAGGTCTGATAAAAAGCTATATTTAAGATATATTTTTAATGTTGTAGAAATAATTAAATGTGAGATTGTTTGTATATTTGTAAAAAAGTAGGCTGTTAATTTGAAAGGAAAATGTGCTGTTCTGTGAAAGATATATAAAAAAAAAAAGAACGTTTTGGAATTTGGAGGATTTGAGATTCGCTGGTTGTCGGTCCAACAGAAGGCTCGACTTTGGAGAACACCTTGGTGGGGCCTGTTGACGCGCTGGTTGGAAAGAAGGCATGCACGAAAGCACGAAGTCGTAAAGGCGAGCGTTCAGTTGTTAATGCGCCTCCGACAGAGTAACTTAGTGAAAATTTATTTTTCATTATTTTCACACGTTTTCACGAGCTTATTAATTTATGTATCGTACGTATGTTTAATACATAGTGTATTTTGTGTTTCCTTAGTGTATGATTATATTCATCAGAAGAAATGAGGATTAAATAGAATATATATATATATATATATATATATATATACATATATATATATATATATATATATATATATACATACATATATATATTTTTTTTATAGAAAACATGAAAGAACGATCGTAGAAAAGTTCCGAGCGAGTTTTCGCTCGATCTTCGCACTTAAAAGACAACAACGAGTGAGAGAAGAAAACGAATCGACGAATTGAAAGAAAAAAGAAAAAAACTTGCCGACACAAGGTAAACATCAATTTTAGAATTATAAATTAATAGCCTTGACGCGAAAGGCACGCGTACTTTGATCATGACGCGAGAATAATATGTAAAAAAAAAGTATAATAATATTGTCCGGAACTTGTGAAAAATCTTTGACATACCGATCGAGCAAATCGACATAGTATGACACCGATCTCTACTTTTATCCGGTTTTTATGATTTCCGTTTGACCGAGCAACGTTAGCTCAAATACGAAGATAATCTGATTTTAATCATGGGAACTGTATGAGAATAACTCACATTTATCTGACAAAACTGTCCGTGTATATATGTATAGGTATATGTGTGTTCGTACATCTTTAGATTGAGAAGATCAATAAAATTTAATTCTCTTCGTAGATGCATCGTCACGTAGAGTATTTCTATTGTATACTGTCAAATACAAATGTAGAATAACGGATTAGAAATTAACTTTCTAACATCGTATGAAGGAAGTCAAGCATCGTTTTAGTTCGATGTACTAATATCGTTCGTGATGTTCAACCAATGTTATCTACCTTTTAATTATGTTAAATATTTCTCTTACGCTTCCACACGTTGTCTTTGTAAATAATGTTTGGCTCTGACGTTCGGATGATAAAAACATCGAAAAGAAGATGTAATCAAGCGTTTAATAACATAGAAAAAGTAAAGTGAGCTCGTTTCCTCTATCAAAGCATACTTTTTTTATGTTTTTTTTTTGTCGCTATCTACGTACATAGTACGAACGTAACAATTGCGAGCATTTCAATTAAAAGAATCGCGCGTCATTTTTAGTACTTGCCAATTATGTTAGTGCTTATTAGTGTGTCGACCAAGGCTGACAATTTCTCACAATAGAGACAAATTTCATTACTTGCATTGTTAATAGTTTAATTAATTTTTTAAATATACAATATATACAATAAACTTTTACTTCATTATCATAACTATTGACTTTGGGAAGGATTTGCGTAGCGATCATGCTCGCATACATAAATAGAAGCTACCGGTAGATACACCTTTGACTATACGTGTACATTGCTAGCCAGTGATAGAAGCGATCTATTCGAGGAATGAAGTAATGTCATCGCCAAAAGGATGCCAATTAGTACTGTGTATGGTCGTTGAATCAGACTGACGGAAGTGGTCTTACGTAAAAACGCAAATTTTTCCCATCTTACGGTGTCCTTTGTACTTCTTTTTCACTGATGTTGGTCAGTGAAAGTGATTGTAGTCAATGATCAACGATAACGATGACGTTCATAAATGTTCAACCGTTCAAATAAAATATATTGTGCGATTCATCTTTTCCTTTTTATGTAAAAAAGATAACATGAGAGACTTTACTTTCACAATATACAGTAGCTATGTACTTACGTATATATATATATATATATATATATATATATTCGAGTTAATACCTTCTAGGATTGCGCAAGATGATATGCAACGCAATAACGCACCGTGGCAGGTTAGAGACCCGACACACAATGACGTGACCTACCTACATGTGGCTGGGCTCTTTCGCCTGGAAATAAGTCATTTCTCTATTAAGCGTCTCCCTTTTATGTGTCGGTGTTAACTGTCCCGTTCATAGTCGCTACCGAGTCAACGAACTGGCTTGCCTAAATGTTTAATCACTTTCATATGTGTACTAAACGTGTATAAGTATTATTTTCATTCGTTATAACCGAGTTTAACATGTTGATGGTTTATAGGAAAGAGTCACCGATGAGTGACGTTTTAATTCGAAAGTTTCTTTTGCTATATTCTGTTAATTAGTATTAATGAAAATGGTTTATTAAGATTTAGTACAAAAAGTATAGGTCATAAATGAATTATATAAAATATTAGACGAATTTCATGATTTATGTATGTTAAATTAATTTCAATATGAAACATGTCTAACAGTCAAAAAAACCTAATCACGTTATCAATAACCAATGATATGTTTACTTTTTCAGAAATTCACGTGAATATAAAATACTTAGCAATTGTCTTTCGGATCTAAAAAAAGAATCGACACTAAATATTAAAACAAAAGATCATCTTTCTTTCTCGAAAAAATACAAAAAGAATAATAGTATATAAACAACGATCAAAAAACGACTGAGAAAGCAGGTGTAGAAGAATGATGAGAAATAAATGAAGGTGGAACACAGGTGCAATCGCAGGTAGTTGTTTTACTCATATCTATTCGCTCACAGCGTGTTCAGTCGAGCTTGCAGAAGCAACGGAAGTGGGAAAAGGGAGAAGGGACATCCAGGATGTCCGAAGAGTTGCGCACGCAACATTTAGGGACGCTGTCACACGAAGAGTATACTATGCAAACCGAAGAGGAAACTCAGTATGCTCCAAGGAGCCGACCTGTCAGCTTTTATGATAATTTTAAGGTGAGAATCGTATATATATATGTATATATATATATGTATATATATATATGTATATATATATATATATATATATATATATATATATATATATATACAGGATGAGTGTTTTAAATTAAAACACATAAATATTTCAAAAGCAACACATATATAAAAAGAAAATTTCTTACAGAAATTGTTTGATTTAGAAGGATAAATATAAGAGCATTATTTATCTCTGATTCCGTGGTCGTTTATAAGACCATTTCGAAATCAACTTTATTTTTTTTTAATGAAAATATAACATTTTTCCAAAGATATATTTTAATCAAAAAATAAATAATTTTTGTCTGAAACATTTTTTACCCAACTACTAAATTCATTAGATATTTAACATTGTCTAAACAAAAAAATTAAGGCAAAGAGAAATAGAAGATAGGTCAGGACATGACAAAATGGGACTAGACAGGACAAGAGGGGATAAGACAAGATAGGAAAGAATAGAGAATAAGAAAAAAGGGAACAAAATCGAACAAGAACGAGAAAGATCGAATAAAAATGAATAGAACCGAAAAGGATCCTATAGTATCGAATAGAATTGAATAGAATCAAATAAGATCACGTATGGCTAAGCTATATATAAATAGGATCGAATAAGATGAAATATTATAGAATCCTAAAATTTAATAGGACGATATGAATCAGATCGAATATGATAGAATAGGACTAAATAGGACCGAATTAAATCCAATAGAACCAAAAAGAATGGATCCTATTCGATCCTATTCGATCCTATTCGACCCTATTCGATCCAATTCGATATTATCTGATCATGTACAATTTTGTTCGATTCTATTCGGTCGTTTTCTATTCTCTTCTATCCTGTTTTATATTGTCTTATCCTTTTCTGTCTCATCCCATCCTCTGCTATTATATTCTGTCCTGTCTCATTGTGTCTCATCTCGTCCTGATCGGTACTTCTTTCTCTTATTCTATATTTTTACTTATCCTAATCTTTTGCTTTAAAAATGTTAAATATCATAGAATGTAAAAGTTGGATATAGGAATGTTTTTATATTCGAAAAGTTGTTTGTTTTTTCTGTAAATTAATATACTATAATAAAATTTATAATCTTCTTTTCATGAAATTAAAGATGATGTTGAAATAATCTTGAAATTCTTGAAATAATCTTCACCAAGTCGGTATGAGTAATATTGTTATATTTACTCTGCTAAATTTAATAACTCCTTTTAGAAACTTTTTTCTGAAAAATTCGTCATTTTCGAAATTCAAAAAACTCTCCTTGTAATATATACAATGATCGACACACGTGTACATTTTGATTACATTGTTGCGCGCGCAACAAGTGGATTACGCATTGAAGTCTCTTCGACACGCTCTAAATCGATCTACCACGAAACTTTCATTTAACTTTTCCATCATCGATAATTTTTCATATTTCTTTTATTGTTCTTCTAGGACGTACAAGTTATGCCAACATGTGTGACCTCTGCGATGAGTGTTGGTAATTTGAGTCAGGTTCGAGAAAACGATACTACTTCATCGAGCATACCACAAAGTAGTAACAATAATAATAATAATAATAGGGTGAGCAGTGCGATGAGTGCTGGTAACGTTTCCAAGATTCAGATTGTTAGAGTTACAGGTAAGTTATTGTATATATAATACAATATTTACTAAACAACTTTGTATATGTATATCATGTTCTTCTAAACGACGAAGGCGTTATCATTACGCTTTTTCTCTTAAAAACATATTAGATCTAATGTGATCACTCGTCATCTTCTTCACGATCTGGTAAAATTGTTGGCACACGATAAAATCGGTCATAAGAACGTATGATTCTACGAAAGTTTCATCTCGAAATAGAATGACCGCGAGTAAAATTTGTACGCGAGTTCGTTGGTCTTTAGTGTAAAAGTTAATTTTGAGTTTTCTGTTAATGAAATTGATTCGTTACGAACATAATTTCGAAATTGGTACTACATCTTCTAGACAATGAAATGATTATCAAGTTAAGATTAAACGAATTTTTAAATAACTATCAAGAGTAATAAATTTGACACAGGTGCTCTTTCGATGGGTAATATTGGTAAAACATATCGAACGGATAAAACCGATAAAGAACTTGGGCGAGCTCCTTCTATGGCCAATTGTTTGTCAACCACAGTTCCCGTTAATCTAGCTGCTTCGCAAATAGCAGGTCGACACACACCCACCAGAAATTCCCTCAGGCACAGCAGAATGATCGTGCTGAATCGAAGTGGGCAGAGTGAGTTGGAACTTTTCTATCTTATGTGACTTGCACACGAGACTTCCATTTCAATACGAAACCTAAGAAAAAACAAGAAACGTGCGAAACAAGTAAATCTTAAACTGTAACGTCATTGATTTAGAAGTCGTGAGACGTAAAACATTTAATTTAACATTTTCTACTTGGCTGCCAAAGCAAAAAAAAGACAAGTATTATTCTTTAAATTTGTTATATGTATACCTAACTATTGTCCTAAAACGAACAATATTTCTAATGACTCTACAAAAAGCATATACCGGTGAGCCTTCGATAACGGAAGTGAAGTAGAACGCATAGCGATAATTCCTAGCGATGCAATTACTCCATTATAGCGTGGCCGTTATTTCTTATGTAAGATACGAACTTGTTGTCATTATTTATGCATCGAGGCCATTTGATAATGAAAACTTAGCAGCCACATACATTTCAAACATTACGTTGTAGGAGTGCGTGGAACGTCACTTTCAACTTAATCAAAAGCTAAGCTTTTATTTTTTTGTTTAAAAAGAAGACGGGGAAGAGGGGGGATAAGTTGGAAAATATTTGAACTTAATAATGTATATAAATTTGTGAAAGATATCTATCATAATGTAAAATACTTTTAACGTTTTAATAAATAATCAATTGTCAAAATTACGAAACAAATCTGAGTCAAAGGAGTTGATGAATTTATTGATAGTTCGATATCCATGACAAGGACAGCTGGTCGTTTGCGTTAAGATGCCTTGTATGGAGGGATAGTACGATCGTTCCGTTTCACCGACATTTTTAAGAACGCGTCTTGTGTGGTTCTTTGCAATGTGAGAAAACGTTTCATGTTAATCTTAGGCTTCACAGACGGAACGTTTTAGAAAGCCGTGCGCGCTTGGGAAGATACGTGGGAAGATAGCGATTGCGATGTTTCGTGAGAGAACAATCGAAAGTATAAGATCTATCTAAGTATTCATTTGTATTTTGTAGGAGCACAAAAATTCTTACCACCATTAGTTTATCATCGACAATTGGCTAGGTGTTTGGCAGCATTACAGACCATTCTTGGGATTGCTATTACTTCATTGTCGTTATGGTTGTTATTGTGGGCTCCAAATTTACCTATAGCTGATAATCCATATTGGAGTGGAATGCCTGTGAGTGTATTGAATCATAAATAAAATAATAAAACTTTTTTATATATTTTTATATATCTATTTTCTTTTTTTTCAGTTATTACTTTCTGGAAGTTTCGGCGTGTGTTTGCTTTGTTGCTTCAAGAAAGAGTATCCAGGTATGAATCCTGGTTTCTGCTTAACATTGACGAAGGTAAGAAAAATTTGTTAAAAAATTTCAAATTCTGTAGATATAACATACAATACATCTTATTACTGTTATTTCTTTTCTCATTCTACAGACAATCAGTACTTTACTTGCAATTTCTGCATCTGTGACGTGTGTCCTGGCATGCATCTCAGCAACCATGCATCTGGCACATCTTATGAGGCTAGAATGTACACCAGCACGTGTCCTCAACGCCACATGTGTTTGTAGGCCACGAGAACAAACAAATGTTACGGCTAGCGAAGCATCGGTCAAATATATGGATTTGAACTGTCCCGAAGTTGAGAGTATTTTAACAATACTTCTCATCTTTTCTTCAACGTGTAATGCTTTTGGTGCCATCATCGCTGGATGGTATAGTTATCTTCATTGGAGTACTCGACGAAAGAGACCAAAATATGTACCTGTTAGAACGAGGACATTCGATTCGACCAGGTGATACCTGATTAAATTTCAAACAATTTTTCACCAAAGTATTCGACGAAAAATTGTGACGTAGAGAAAGGGACCAATCTACGTATTTTTTAATCGAGAAGAACTATGAGTAATCAAAATATTCAATGCAAACGATTCAGAAAAGTACAATGGCTATTAAAACATTTCTTGAATCGTTATTGTTATTGTCATCGACGCACGACGCACATGTGTACATAAAGTACAGTATTTATTTAGAAATTTCTAATACGTTCCATAGTACGTATGGAATATCTTAAGTTCGCGTATGTACGCGAATACAAATTTATTTGTACTCGTATTTTCGATCGAAAGGAAGTTTCATCGATTAGTTAAATTTATTTACGCGCATGTATTTATTATATCGAAAGAACAGAACGAAAGACTTCTACTCTATACCTCAGCGTATTAGATTTTAATACATACTTCGACACTTGCAAGCGCATAAGCTAACATATTTTATGTATATATTTTATAGTTGAAGAAAATTACGTGGGTTATGGGACGAAATAAGTTATTGTCAGTATTAATATTATTTTAATCAAAATTGTGCCCATGTTAATTCAATTTAAGATTGATGATCATATTGATAACTTTATAATAATAGATTACATTCCTTCTTTATGATCAGTCGGTCTGATTTTTTTCATTTAATGAATGAGAATTACTCTTTCTTGTTTTATCTTCGACCTCATTTATTCGAATCTCTGGTATAATTGCATCCTTGCTCGACGGTGATACTAAAGAATCGCTGAAGATATTTGTTCTATGTTTTAAAATGAAATATATAATACAGAAAATTATGAATGAAATTTGTGATAGGTGATCATACCTGCCAAAATTTCGAATTTCATACGTTTTTTGACGTAAATTAAAGTCATGTGGCAAAGATTCAGTTTCAGTATTAGTAATTCCAACTTCTTCCAAAGTGATCGAATATTTCCTTTCATGCATTACCACATCGTTTAGTTTTTCAATCGCGATCGCAGTATAAGAATCGTCTAAGTATCAAGAAAAAACTTATGAATTATTTATTTTTAACAGTTCACATATTTTTTTGTTTAGATCCATATTTAATAATCTAAATAACGTTAAACATTGATGTGATTAAAAAACTATTGGAATTTTTATATTTGTTTGAATTACTTGACGGCAAAACTGGTAAGATTTTTTTCCATCTAGTGATTGACGTATCGATAGCTTCTTGTCTTTTTTCCGTAATCTTGAATAATTTACGTCGTTTTTCCGTACGTTCTTGACGTAATTGTATCTAAAAAATATGTCAATAGATAATTGTAGATTATATATATTATCGTTAGTAATTTAATATTTTTTAATTACTATTTTAACACCGGTTTATAACCTTTAAATCATTATTGGCTTCTCTGAGAGATCCCGTAAGTGAAGCCATGTAGTAAATAATTAGTGTCATTAGAACGATTAGAGGTATTACCATGCTAGCTGATGATATATAATCGAGACATCTGAATAATACGTACATAAGCTTTAACATAATTTAAAGTGTCTTATAAATTTGAATTTATGAATGTAGAACGAACTCACGGTTTGATCACCTCAGGTAAACTATCTTTAAGGCTTTTCGTTGCAAACATATAGATTCTTGAGTAGCCAGAAAATGGACCGCAATGCCAGGATGGTTCGACCCGAACTATGGCATAACCAACTGGTAGTACGCATAAAAATAACATCATCAATAATAATGCAAAGTAGAAATTATTGGACCTGAAAAAAGCAGTTATAATATAGATATAATATTTGATCGAATAATACTTATGCATTCCATATACTTAAAATTAATTTCATTATTTCATTAATTACCTGGATGCTCGAAAAACTATTTCATGAGGTACATTGCATGTTAACACTGCCCACGAACGTAAATACATAAGAATGCCTAGCTTCAGGAGATTCAACGCTGCCAGACCAGGACTGAAGAACATGCCCATCCAGACCATGCCCTGATTATTCACTAAATGAAGTATATTTTCGGCAATTTTAAAATCCCCATATTGTGGAAATTGTTTTTCAAGATCCCAACACCAACAATTGTTCATACAACGTATGAATACAGCTCGAAAAAAATCCATACCAAGTGTGGAAACAATTGTCATTACCTTGAAAAAGTTATAAGAACGAAAAATTCATAAAATTAAAGAAAGAGAGAGAGAAAGAGAGAGAGAGAGGGAGAGAAAGGCTGATAAATTAATTGTTTATAATTATTTATGATACAGACATCGAATTAAGGAGGCATTAAATGCATTTTTGATGGACCTACCAAATCCATAACAGTCAATTTAGCAAGTTCCTGTCCATACATTGTTTCCCAACATAAACGTCGAAGCTCTTTACGTGTTTTTAAATCTAACCTTTGTACTGGTGCCTCTAATAAGGACAAACAATACAAAGACACATGATAAGATACCAAATATAACTTTTTTACTTATATAGATATAAACAAATTCGTCTTCTATGTACCTTCTTGTGTCTCACTGGTGCAAACTCTCTCGTAACACATAACGATATGTTTTATATTTTCTGTAAATGAAATATCAGATCCATTCAGTTCGTTCGAAGCATTTGATATGTTCGTTTCATTGTCATTTCCTTCCATACTGAGTACACTGTACTCTGTCGTAAAATTATTAACCTCCTTCGTCGTGTTGAAACTAGAATTATATACTTCATAAATATTATTATCTTTCAATGTATCATATATGTCTTCGGTCGAATTACTCTCCGTCGAATTTTCTGTAAAACTTTCAGTATTTCGATAATCTTCGTTAATATACAAATTTGAATTAGTCGGCTGTAATTCCTCGTTATTATTAATTGTACTCAACCAAGTATTATTAATTTTATTGTCTATGAAAGTATTATCGAAGTCGTTATCAATCCGTGAATAATCGCCACTGTTGTAATAATCTTCCGAGTTGGCATTGTAATCTCCGTAATTGAGATTGTGAAAATTATTATCGTTCGATAGAAATTCTTTGATAAATCCTTCGTATTGTATAGAAGCTACTTTTTTAAATGTATACATAGAAAATATAAAATTATTTTTTTTATAGGTGAAAAACGGAAGAAAACGTTAATTATTTATATATATTTACATACCAGATTGATCTTGTTTGATTGACCGATCAGTGATATTTGCATAAGCGATACTACCCATTAACGCTAGGCTGAGAGATGCTAAAGTTACAGTTGATTCGGAATTCATCAAATTGCCAACACATTTTACAGGTGTATATTTACAATTTATTTTCGTAGGATTTAATTGAATCAATTTTTCTTTCTGAAAAAGTATAAATAAAAAATATGATCAATTTTGAATATCATGAAATTGATAACGTACCATGTAACTTATTTTATTGAAGAGTGCAAATATTAATGAGTACAAATTCAAAAGATTAAGAAGCATTATCCTGCAAAGAAGAAAATCAATTTTAATTTAAAAACGTTTTTAATTTTATGATAATTATAATTTTTATTTATTTACCTTGCCAATTGCCTTCGAAGTTGCTTCCTAGGATGATAACTTTCGAGAAGACCAAGAACTTCAAAAATAATTGGAAAAACGTAAGAAATGAGAGACATCACCAATGTGATCTCATTTTGACGCCACAAATTTTTATCAGCTTCTTCATCTGTACTTCGTGCTACTACTTCAACTACAATATAAGCTGACAGTGCTAATAAAAAAAGGATCGATATATGGACAAAGCTTCTCATCAATATAATTTTCCAACTGTAAAATGAAATTAGAAACAAGAATGATCCAATTTGTAAGACGTTTGAGTATAAATTTAAATTTGCTCACTTTCTTTTATCCTTTTCTTTTTCAGCTTCTTCTAAAAGAGCCTCTTTAAAACTAAGAACGATACTTGCAACACGATTATGAGCAGTCTCGGGATTACCAATCATGAAGTCCCAACCGGTAAAAAGTTTCCATGAGAAAGCACATTCATCTTCTTTTTCCGTGAGTTTACTTTGCCGAGAATTTTTAGCCATTCTGAAGAAATAATTCATTGATATAAGTCCGAACAATTAAAATAAATAAATTATCGGTAATGATGATATCTAATTATTGTTAATACTTTCGTAATATCACAACGAAGCTGTAAGTGTAGACGACAAGATTAGTAACGAAGTAAGCAAGTGGTAGTCTATAGCCTTTCTTTGAATCATGATTAGTATACCAGCCATAAAAAAATGGAGAATATCTAAGGATACCCTCGAACTTCCATAATGTCGTTAAATGACTAGATCTTATTCTTTCTTCTTTCGGTATTATTTTTCTCTCACCAGCGAACTTTACGTCAGCTATGAACATCTAATAAACCAATGAGTACATTAGAATAAAAAATAATTTAATCACAAACAGATGATTTTTTATCTAGATAAATTGTTAATTTACCTCAGGTACTACTACAAATGCTGTAAGCAAAATAGTAATCACAAAATTGATCCAAAAGAGCCATCTTAGAAATGTAAAATACGATGCCACGGCTGAACCAAAGTGTGATTCTATTTCTTTAATACGAAGTTCCCAAGGTATAAGCCAAGTCTTAAGATTGATCAGTTCACGTCGAAAATATTGCCATTTCTGTGATAGAATTAACATTTAAAGACTATTATAGGTAAAATTTCACCGCAATAAGATAAAAAATATCGAAATGGTATTATAGTAAAAATGAATTTTTATCATTTTCATCTATTATTAAATAATAACAAAAACTTTTAATTGAATTTTTTTGTCATATTAATTTATAAAATAAAAAATAGAATACTGCAATGAAATTTTATTCATGAAAACGTCATTTTTATGTAATCATAACGTATTTTTATAACCTTTGTGATTAGAAGAGAAATACGAGCAATGATGTCCTTCGTGCTGCGATTTTGAGCGAGTCTTTCTTGCAGAACACCTTCATGTTTTCTAACGTATAATTTTGCCTGTCGAACTAATTTCATCTTTTTACGTAGAGGCCATGGTTCTTCCTTCACACCACTCAAAACTTCTTTATGTAATTTTAGCTTTTCAAAGACTTGTTCTTGCATGCCACTATCTTCAATCGAGATAGCTGTGCTACTTCGCAAAATAGTTAAACAAAATAACGCGTCTTACAATGACTGACAAGATTGTATGTTCTTTGAAAGAGAGTAATAATTTTTTATTCTAACAAACAAAGTGTTTAGAAATTGTAACTATATCCGACACACATACAGATTTTTATAAAAAAAAAATATAATTTATTAAAAATTCAAAATACATAATTAAATGATATAAGTAAAACATAATATGTGTATATATACACAATAAAAACCAATATATATATATATATATATGATATATTTAATTCCGAAATATTTTATTAATTAAAAAATGTATTATTCACTTTCAAAGATCATATTATCTTTATGATTCATTTTGTCATCTTCCAATGAATATCAAAATACAATTATGAGATTACTAACTCGATAGAGCTATTTGTGTATGCTGAAGATTGCCGTCGAACTGTATTGACCTCTTCACTTTCGGTAGTAAAGGTTGAAGACGTTCGTCGTTTGCGTCTACTTTGTCGTCGTGAAGAATTACGTCGTAGAATGATGGCTGATGCTGATGCTGAATAATCTTCGTCACGTTCCTCGCATTCTTCGTGTTCTTCATGTTCCCCTTGCTCGTCTGAAGGAAAGACGAGATGAGCTGATTTTCATAGACAAATGTGATAAATACTTCGAAAAAGTTTGTACAGACCAACATGCGATTTATTCTGCATTTCTAATTGACTCATCATCCTTTGTTTTTCTTGTTGTTCACTTATAACACTGGCCTTTCTCTTGTCGTCTTTTATTTTAATAAATTTAACGTAAGATCTGCCAAGCGAAGAAAACGACAAAGTGGGTTCCACCTAAACACAACGTGAAATACGAAACAATCTTTATCATATGATTTCTCATTATAAATTCTTCCTAGTCATGGCAACTGCCGATTTTCCATCCTTCCTATCTCATGATAATTCGTCGTGTACAAGTTAGCCCTATTATTTTGCTTTTTAAATTAAGGATTTGGATGAGATAACGTTATGTGATTACGTATGAAATCTTTCTTAACAATTTGATGCTCTATCAGAACACGAACATTAATTAATACGATAAAACGATACCGTCAATATTAGGTCACTACGATTACACCTAAGAAATTTGATATCATCTGTTATAACGTATCACAAGGGTTGTCCTAACTGCATCGATGGATCGAAGCTAACTGACAACATACTGATAGTGGACAACGCTTCCTTGCAAACCCCTCTAACCGCACCTATTTTACTCTGCTGACACCTTCTATTCGATATCGGTTTATCTTTTGTTCTTCATATCAGATGAATCTTTACTTTGATGAATTGTTCTATCTCCCTCCCTAACAAAAATAGAGTCTAGCACTTAGATTTAATCTTAGTCCATTAAAATCTTTGATAACACAAATTTTACACAACTCAGAATTTTGTTTTTACTAATTACAGCATTATTATATGAATATTCATTATCTAAAACCTTTTTTTTGTAGAATATTTTTTTTCTGACACGTAATTAATATAAAATTAATAATGTAGAATTAAATAATTCCAAAAAATTTATAAGCCCAGTAATTCGATAAGATGTAGGAAATGTGCAAGTTTAATAAGAAAAACAAAAAGAGTTAGGCTTTACAATAATTTATCGTAAAGTTATAAATGAGAGAAAGTGACATACAATAAACGATCGTGACGATGCCGCACCCTTTGAACCATTCATTCTTCGTGCAAGCTCCACCCTTTTGTTCGAAGATAATCGCCTTTTTCTATAACATACTCTCTACACGCGATTTCTAGACACCCAAAAGAATCAGCTACATTAAATAGGATGATAACATTGTTTTCTCATTAATGTTCATAAGGAGAATTCGTTTTTGGAGATTCGAAAAAAAAAAGAAAAACAAAAAAATATATCTAAATGTTTCTTTTGACGTAATTATGAGAAGATACACGAATCGTAATTTTCTAGTAATCACCATGAATATCACTTTTTATTTTATTTTTTTATGGAATTAGAGATAGTGCGACGAGATATTCTGAAAAACATTAAGTTTATACCCTAAGGATTTATCGAACACTATATTCGACATTCTTTGTTTCTCTCACGCGATTCCACACCTATTTTACTTAATTACGTTCAGTGGAAATTGAAAGCTTCGACACCTACATTCAAGGACGATAGAAATTTGAAGTACCTGTCGTAATGTCTATCGAGATTTCGTAGAGAGTAGAGAGATGTTTGTGAGAGATGTCCTGCTTATCATCCTTAATATACTGAGTAATCTTCTTTTTTCCATATTGTACATTTCGTAAGAGGTTCGAGAAGTATCAACAGAATATTGTTCTCTTGGTAGCATATTCCTTGTCTTTCTTATTTTATAATTTATATTACTTCTTACAGTTAATTTTCACACATAGAGAGTAGAGTTAATTTTGTTTCTAATGATATAATTTATTACACTTTTTTCTTTAAAAATGATTACTATTACGACTATTCAATGGATTTGAGATGTACCGTCCTTACCAAGATTTACCAAAGTACTGTTTGGTAAGACTGGAATACACGATGATATTTCTACTAATGAATACTAACGACTTTATTAACTCATGAATGTTAAAAGGTACGTATCATCAGTACGTATCCAGTAGCACGAACAAATGATTATAGCTTACATACATATGTCGATGGATATATTGAGGGATATAAATCAGTTGATATCCTAATGTTATCCTTTCTTTTATTTTAAAAAAGAAACCGATTCATTTTTTCTCGCAATCTATTTGCCAAAAAATACATGTACATGTATATGTATTTGTATATACAAATAATAACTTATATTTAACAGTTGACTGTCCGGATTTTTCTGGTAATACAAAGTTTTATTTACATACTTAAAAACTTGGCGGCGATACATTATTTCTTTGGCACAAGAAGACTAACGGCATCTCATTTGATGCTCACTTTTATTCTAAAAATTCATTTCTTCTTATTGTTTAATGAAAACAATCAAAATACTCCCAGCACTGTTCGTCTTGAAAATATATTATTTCGTAGTATGCCGAGCCCAAGTTGTCCTTTTGACTTGACTCATCAGATCGTTTCTCGGTGGTAGACGAGCACTAGTTGTACGAGTTGGTGGTGGCCCAGGTGAACGTAACATCGCAACAATTTTTTTCTGAGCTTGACTTTTGTCATTGTTAGTACTTTGAAAATTTTCTTTGGAAATACCATCCATACGTTTGCCTTGTGGTGGTGGATCCAAAACTATAGGTGGTATCTCTTCTTGACCATAATAACGTTCTTGCTTGATCTTGATGTTATCTATTGACGGCGAACTTTGATCATTAACATTACAAGGTAACGGTTTAATGAAAGACGATTGCTGAATATCCGTATTCTCGGCGATACTTGTCGTTGTCCTGTAATTGTCCAATTTGTGATTCATAACAGGTGACGGTGTGAAACTATTGGACTGAGACACTCTTAGAGATATTGAGCTTGGTGAAAGCTGTGCTGAGTTCTATAAAAACATATACAGACAATATATTAGAATTTAATTTATGTTGTTTTGTTAATGAGAAAATAATGTGTTATGGAAATAACTTACCGACGGTCTGGAATTAGGAGATAATAAAAATCCATGTGGCATCGTGTATGGTGATGGCGTAGCATAAGGCGATCTTTGACTTTGGTATGGACTGATATTATGAAGTCTCTCCATTAGTTGTGCTTGGAAATGTAATTGATCAGTAGAACTGTTGCTTCCCTGAATTCCCATAACACCGAGACTACCAGGATATAAAGAATCCATGGAGTAAGGACAATAAGTGAATGCCGATGGATCCGATTCCCAAGATGAACTTTGTTCTCCAGTTCGTTGGCACTATTCACGGAGGGAAAATAATTGGCACATAGACTCGATAAAACTTATTACCAAGTTAACAGAATCTATTTAAATCACCATATACTTTCCTGTACATACAGTTTCCGTGCAAATGAAACTCACACATACCGAAACTGTAACATTTACTAATATGTACATATACACGATACATTTATTTATATTACATAATAACAGTATTAAAATTAAAAAAGTATAGAAAAAGAAATATTGAAACAAAACATTTATACATACAAGCAAACTAATACCAACACTTATGATTATTTTCTAGTAAACAATGAAAAACATTACCTAGCATTTATTGCTTGCGAGAAGTCCTTAATCTTGTGCGAAGACCTGTTGAACAACACCGTCATACTGGCACTTAGCAGAATTATTAGATTAGCGGTTTAGCTTTAATGTTCCATCCTGACGAACAACAATTTTATCGAAATTCGTAATGGCGAGTATAAAATTTTGATCGGTCATAAGCAAACACATGTATCCACATCTTCCATATTCGTGTATTATAAGATTTGTGTATTCGATGATAGTCGAGTCAAATGTAGTCGACCGATAGATAGATAGATCGACAGTGTGCTATATACATACATCTGTCTCATAAAACGTTCTTAAAATGAAAATATTAGTGATGAATTTTACATAGAAATTCTTTGACGTATCTACTAGGAGGCTACAAGAATAGAAACAATATTTTACCTAAGTCTCAAGATGATCATAAAACAAAAGAATATTCTTCGCTGTTTCTTCAAAGGTAAATAACGGAAAGCTGTCGTTTGTAAGCGGCATGCCGAACGTGTTTTACTCAAGAACGTGAAAATTCTCTAAGAAAAGATACATGTGTGTTTGGTTTATTGTGGTGTGAAAAACGTAAGACGAAGAGAATAATGAATATCGAATATTCAGGAGCAACGTGTTTGCCACATTGATCGCATACCGATCTTCTCAGCCTAAGACGACACTGACAGATGCAAAATGTATAAGGTGTATGTAAATCGGTTTATTATAAAGTTAAAAAAAGGACTCTCGATACAAAAGGCGGTTACGGTATAAAAAAAGGAATAAAAAACAAGTACAAAATGCATTGTTAAACGTTAATGGAAATGCAACGTTGGTGCAGACGTCAGACGACATTTGCTGCTCCTTTTCGTTTCATGGGATTCGGTAGAACGTTACCTGGCCAAGATTAGGTAAATCAGGAATGTTGGATCCCTGTTGAGTCGTTGTCGACGATACAGGTATTTGTGATTGCGTATTAATGTGACCACTCGATACACGTTCTTGTTCCCTGAGATGACCAACCAATGCTCCTATGTGTTCCAACAATTCCTTGTTTTGCACCAGCAATTGATGCGTTCGCATCTAGACGAAAATTAATTCAATTTTGATTATCTCATTATAAAATCCAAATACTATTATAACGTTGATGGATCAATAAGATCGCGTATACTTACGTTGCAAGTACGATGCAATAGTTCGTGAAGTTTTTATCGTCAAATTTATAACAAATTTATTACCTGAGCTTCAACGCGTGCAGCAGTCTCTGCTGCAAGCTGATCCTGTAGAAGTTTCGCATGAGCAACAGCAGCTCTGGTTTGTTGACTTTGCTGCTCTAACCGTTCTCGTAAAAGTTGAATTTCGTGTTTGAGAGCAGTTAATTCGCCTCCTACCAATAAACCTCCGCAATCGGAGGCTACCGTGCCCTATTATAATGCACAATAATTATGAAAAGTTAATTCAAAGAAATTTATTTTTTTGTTCAAGTATTGTCAAAAATAAATAAAATAAAAGAAGTAATAAATATATACCAATGGCGATTGTCTGATAGGTGAGGTAGAAGCTGTGGTTGCTGGAACATCGTGAGATCTCAGAAGACAAGAAACAGACGATTGTTCCTGAACCGAATCCTCTGTTTCTCCTAACAGCGATATGTCTGTAATAATATTATCACACAAGTACATAAACAAATAATAAGAATTTATTAAAAATATTCAAATTGAATAATTTTATACCTTTGTGCAACGTCAACGGTGAAGATTGCGATTGCTCGTTAGGAATTTCATCTTGTTCCTCGTAAACGTCACGATGATTCTCGCTGTGATCCTTTTCTATTTCTTTTTCCTTTTCCTTTTCCTTTTCCCCACGATCTTTATCCTCATTCGTATTATTTATACTTAATTTATGGCACACCTCGAAGGCTTGTCCCACGGTTCTCACCACCCTCATTGCTTGACTCTAGTAAAATCAAATTCTTTAAATTTAATTGAAAGATCAAATTATTCTATTCCTGTGCATGTATGTGAACGACGAGTTTCTGATAACGTATTTAAATTTAATCCTTTATATTCTCTATTTTCTTTCACTACAAGCTCTCTCTCTCTTTTTTTCAGAACACATTATTTTTCACATAATTTATTTTAAAGAAATCATGATATTTTGTAATAAAAAATTATTATTATTAAAAAATATTGCATCACACTTGTCATAAGAGTTCAAAGGGTTTAATATTAATTACTCAATAAGTTTTTTTTTGTTTAGCGAAGGACAAAATTAAATTCAAGGTTCTTTACGATTTAAAGGAAAAAAATTTTTTTTTTAATCCTATAGATTCCAACGTTACAATTAAAAGGGATGATTAGTTGATAACAGAGTTAAACGGATCGAATGAAGCAATAATCTTTTTTTTTTACGTTCGTCAAAATAATTTGACACGTCGATTTACCTCGAGTTCCTCAAGTTCATCGTTTTCCTCCTCGAAAGGATTCTCATCGAGATTGATGTCAATCGATGTCGAACGAACTGGCTGTGAAGATGTGGTTTTCGCTCGAACAAACGGTCTTCTTAGCTTTAAATGGTTAAAAATCGTGTCCGGTTCCTTAAAGGAGAGCTTTTTGCGTGGTTTAAACGAATTTTCGCATTCTGAAGCTGCAACAACGCTTGAAGGGATGGTAGAACCGGAAATCGGATTCGCCAACGTCGTTGAATTCGCGTTGACGGCGATTGTTTGCTTCGTCCAATTTTTCAACATTTCGTTCAGCTTAATCAAAATTACTTCGCATCCTTAATTTTTAATAATGATTTCATACGGTAGGATTTATTTCAAATAAAAAAAGAAAAGTAATTTCCTTTATTTTAATCTTCTTAAGAGAGAATAAATATAGCCCCGATCAGAAAAAACTCTTGTCCCGATTTCTTACAAATATCTATATTACTGACTATTTTTAATATTCATTTCATTGATTATATTTGCATCAACGAATAATTTTCTTCATTTTGTAACAACAATCACAATCTTTATTATGTTCGTCTCCTTTTCTTTTTCCATAAAATAACATAACGAAATAATTCTTATTGTTCCATGAAATTTAATTTCCATAGAACAAATGTACTTTCAACGCATAACAGAAGATCAATTTCATGGAATATTTTACTCTTCCTCGTATTGTCAATCTTTTATTTTAGTCCTCTCTCTCTCTTCCTCTTCCTCTCTCTTTCTCTCCCCCTACTCTCTCTCTTAATGATAGCGCATTACTCATTTATATCAAAAACAGATATGTTATGTTCTTTCATCGTTCCAATCTGCCAAAATCGAGCTCGATCAAAACGAAACTAGCTTTTCGTTCGAAGTGAATACACACGTTACTCTGTAGACAATAAATCTTCATTTAGGTCAGTTTGTCCGTATAAACTTTCATGTGCGCACACAGCAGTAAAGATTTATTTTGAATTCTTGTTGCATTTTTCTTTCGGTTGTTTGTATTGTTTCTTCTTCGAAAAATCGATATACATTCGTTTATTAAAAATCTCAGTTATTCTACAATTCATTAAATGTATAGATTTCAAATAAACTGAATTTTCTTCTCAGCTTAATTATAATTATTTTCTCATAAATATATGTTCTCCTATAAATATATACTTTTTAATAATTTATATATATAAAAAGTATATTTTATGTAATATAAATTATATTATGCATATACATTAATTATTCAAAAGTACATATTTATAATATAACATGCCTAAGAGAAACATATACAATACTAGTATAGTATGCAATAATTAAATAATATATAATATAATAAAAAATTTTTATTTCTTTAATTTTCTATTTCTATAGAAATATATAATATACACTCTCTCTCAAGTATAAATACTCGTGATGACGAAATTCGCAAAAAATGGAAAAACAAAAAAAAGAAATCATCACTCTATAAGTTTTTGACGAATGACATTTTACAACAAAACTTTATCAAAAACTAACAAAGCTGTCACCGTTCAGACCCTTGGAATTGTTTCCATCGAATATTTGTTATTAAATAGGGTAGTTATATTTTCTAATATATACATACATAATTATCGTATACATAAAATACATATTTTCTTGAACCAAAGGAAGACTAAGCACGAGATACGTTTTGGAAAAGCAGAGGTATACGTTCGAGTACCGAATAAATTTCTTTCCGACGCTATGAGAGTAAGCAACGTGGGTTTATTTGTATGGCGGATACACAGTCATTTGTAATAACAAGCAGAGCGCACACAAAGATACCATGATCTCTTTTCTACCATTATTTTCCTATTTGTTCGTTCCTCTCTAATAAGTTCTTTGTAATTTTCTTCTAAATATTTAATTAATGTTTTGAAAAATGTTATCGTTTCTTTTTAAAACTATAATAGATGATGACGACAATGATGATAATGATAATGTCAAAAAAAAGATATGTACATATACCTAAATTATGTAATCTATAAAAAGATTCTTTTTAACTTGAAATATACACTTAAAAATACAAATTAGTATATAGACAATACGAATTTAATTCGTCATTTGAAATTGAAATTCAACGATAATTTAAACTTATAATTCAACGATAATATAAATTTATTTTAAACATAAAACTTTGAATAAATTACATAAATAAAAAACTATTATTGATGAAGAAACACTCGATAGATCTAATACAAAGCTAGCTAACACCGTTTCCATCATGAACTCTTCATTTCTTTAGCAGATGGAAAAAGAATCGATAAATTGTTTCGCTTATAACTTCCTTTAGAACTATAGTCGATGAGATATAATGCGATATTCCATACACTGCTTCAATTATACTAACATCTTTAACACGAGCAACAAACACATTTCTCTCTTTTCTATCTTTCTCCCAAAAAGAGAATTATTGGAGACATCAACGATCGTAATTCTAACATTCTGAACTCTAATGGCACAAAATGATGAATCACACTTTTACATTTCTTTTTTTTTTTCTACGTATCAATGTTCACCCAGAAAGATGTCTTATTTTCACATTAGGAACATGAAAATTAAGATAACACTTAGAGTAGTAAGTCCAAGAATACCGAGTGTACAGCGTCCGATGCGGCAGCACACAGCACAATGTGAACTGACTCGTAGCGAGCTGATTTTTCCTCTGGTTTATTTATAAGCGCATTAATATCTCTCTTTCTCTTTCTCTTTCTCTCTCTCTCTCTCTCTCTCTCTCTCTTTCTCTCTCTCTCTCTCTCTCCCTCTTTCTCTTACTCTCTTGCTCTCTATCTTCCTCTTCCTCTCTCTTTCTTTGTCTTTCTCAGTGGCGGAATTTTGTTTCTTGAACCGATAACTCTTCTTATCGTTCGATTAGAAAAGTTTCAAGTAATTGCACGATTATCATTCGTTAAGATTTTGTTTCTGATATTAGAAATCAAAAAAGAAGAAGAAAGTATTCGAAGAGATTCATGAATGAAAAATTAGAAAAGTTCAATTTTTTTTAATAAAATAAAAATTGATTTCTATTATAAAGTTTGTCTCGTGTATGTAAATAAAAAGAAAACCTCTTCTTTGTTATTTCTTTTGAGCCACTTGGTAAAGAAACGGAATTAGATGACGTCATAAATTATCTTTACAAATAGGGTACTCTAATCGCAAGAAAGGAACAATGGAATAAGAAAAGAAAAAAAAACAGAAGAGAATACTGAACTTGGCTTTTTCTTTCCCTTCGTAATCAAGAATGTGGTATTTTATTTATAGGGACGCAATAATGCGGATTGATAGTTAGTCAGAATGAATGTTAGAGTCACGTTAATTGTCTACATTTACCTACACGTATATGTATATATGTATGTATGTATGTATGTATGTATGTACGTACAAGAATCGTTACATTTGATTTCCCATCATAGAACGAAAGCATGTAGAAACTGGTATAAGTGCTTCTAATAGCTAATATCGATATTAGAAACTCGTCGTCGAATCGCGAGGGTTAAACTTATCAAAGAACAAATAAGTCTTACCTTTTTACTAGATTTGAAGACGTTACATTTGAAGGTGTTACTGCTACCGTCACGGGCGATGTAACTAAAAATTTTCAAGTCGTGACTATCGTGGGAGACATAGAATATCCTGAAAAACAATCAGAAATGGACGCAAAAATTTATTTATCTTTTCTGTAATTTGTTAATGATTTAAAAAGAGGAAAAAATAAAAGAAAACGAAAACTAAAAACTAAACAAGAGAAACATATTTCATTCTCACCTGTAAATCGGGTGATGCATGAGATATAGTTTGTTCTCTTCCATCCATTGCTGTTTCTTCTGAAAAAAACAAAAAAAAAATAAAAAAAAAAAAAAAATAAAAAAAAAAAAAGACAGCTATGAAAAAACTAGCTTGAAAATCGCTAGCAACCGATTTCTATTGACACGAATACATTGTGGCTCCAGTCCAAATCCATTTCTCGTTATAAATCGCCACTTCGCTCATTGCTAAATGGCTCATCATTTAAGAACGTGATATATGTATGTATATATATATATATATACACGCGCGCACATACACATAGATATATACATGCATACATACATACATACGTACGTACATACATACATATATATATGCATACGTACATACATACATACATACAATTTCCTTACAAAGATACATTTGTATTTATACTCTTACATACTTTCTTCTTCCGGAGCATGACCTTCAACCCGTCGACCGATACCTCCAACGTCACTTTCTTCTTCTTGATCCCTTTCGCCTTAAATTCATACTAAAAAAAAAAAAAAAAAAAAAAAAAAAAGAAAAAGAAAGGATAAAAGGAAAAATAATTGAAATATAATTTTTGAAAATTCAACAAATTCAACAAACGTTTACGTCGACATAATTGATAAAATTTAATCAGCAATTATGTTAACTCACCCGAATCCTTCGCATCGCCGCCACGATCTCAACTCTGCTGGTTGGTCGAGGTACCTCCATAGAACCAATGAACTGAAAAAATGAAAGAAAAAAAAAAAGAAAAATAAACGATATTCATCGAATAATATCTATTCCACAAAGTTGCCACCATATCTCAGTAAACCCCAATCAAGCCTATTTTCGCGTTCCGAAGTTTCTTTGGATCAACGATCGTATTCTTTCTTATATTGAGCACCTCTACAATCCGTATTTAGAATCCCCCATTGAAGCTATGACCGGGCCACGTGTTCGAACGGTTTGACTTGCACGTGGTAGTCTCCCACATATCGTAAGAAAAATCGTAAGGACTAAGAAAGTCTAGAGACACAGTCTATGCATTCTTCGTGAATTAACGATCAATAGTCGACGTTAAGGCGACGCTTAGCTAGGGTTAGTTTCCTTATCAACCCTACGACAAAAAGAATCCTCCCCGCTTACTACAAGTCCTACTCTAATTCTGATACTATATGAAAAGGAAAAGGCATGATGGAAAAAGCATTTGGCCATCGATCTTTTTAAAAGTTCTTTATTAAAAACGCATTTGTGACTATTCATCACTGCTCGTGATTTCGAGGAAATGTATGAAGGTGTGTGAATAACCAAGAGAAAGAGAAAGATAGTATATGTGTGTGTAGATATCTACATGTATGTATATTTGCGCATGTTGTGAAAAACGAACAAGAAGTTAAGGAGAGCTTTATGAGCTTTAAAGTCGAGCGCACAAAAGCTTCGACCTTTCTTGGAACGTGTACTACTGAAATAAACACTTGTACAATGACGTCATCACGACGGTACCGGGATGGTCCGAAAATATCTCGTGTCGTTGCCGTCCTCCTTGGTTGTTGCACCATACGCGATATCCTCGATATTATATTTTCGATTCCTCGAAAATTTCAACTAATAACTAAAATCATCCCCAATTGACTTGATAGTCTATCTTTCCTTGATGAAATAACTCTAATCTTAATCTAGTCATCGCAATATGAACATAAGTTGATCTAACTGGATCAGATCAATATGTTCAAGCCAACTGCTTTGGATCAGTTAAAATCTCTACGGTCTAGATACATTCGTTGATCTTTGTATGTACGATAATATATGAACTTAGAAACAATAGCCATAGATAATGTATGCTTAATATTGAATTATTTCGTGAGTCTCACAATTTCATCAAATTGCAAAGTTTAAGGGTCAAAGTTGAATTGGGCCACTGTAGTTTCGAATGAATAATTATACAAGAATATGTACTATGTGTATATGGTAGCCATTTAAGCGCGAGAAAATTGAACATATCTTTTTCTTTATAAATAAAAAAAAAGAAATTTTCTTTTCCTATAATAAAAAATAAAAATAAAAATATTCAAATGTTTCTAATAAACTATAAGTTATGCTGGAAAAGTCATTGTGTTAAGGTTTTTGTTTTCTTCTTACTACTTCGAGTGAACTTCGAATTTAGAGTCAAAGAACCCCAATAATGTTGGATTATTGAACATTAATGATAATTAATTATTATTACTGAGTAAACTCGGTCTCTTTCAAAGAGATCATGATAGATTACCTTGGCGTGGAAGACGATTCCACGGTGGAAGGCCTCCTCGCTGTGTAGCGGTATCCGTGTATCGTACTCGTCATTATGCACGAGATTGTACTGCTTCTTAGAGGGCATGCTTCTCCCAGCTTCATTCGATCTCGTTCGTCCAGTCTCGCTAAAAACGACACGTGTTCGGTCAGTTAAGTGACTCTTCTGAGGCCCCATAAAATTTCAAATATGGCGAACGAAATTACTCTGAAAATCTTTTCTTTCATATATGCATATATCTCTTTTTTTCTGTTTCTTTTATTTCAAATTACTTCAAAATTAAAAAGAAATTCTTTTAAATTTTCAATAAAGAAAAAGAAAATATTAAACAAAAAATAAAAATCGTCCTTTTACCGACAAAGATTTTGTATCATTTATATCTATAAACATATCGAGAAAAGATGTAAATTTATTCTAAAATTTTCTATGATATTCAAAGTTGATAGATTTCATGTCTCGTGATTTGATCACGAGATTTTCCTTCAATCTCTATGCGTATATGAAAACTCAACGCATGTAGCAGATATCGGGATAGTGGATGAAGCACGTGCTACAAGTGGCTCCGAATTCAAGGTCACATTCATACAGTTCGTATTTCATTGAGTAACGAATCTATTCGAGGGTTCGCCTCTTTACCGAATAATAATCCATTACGTATTTTCATTATCGACTTATGGTATAGTAGAAGAATTGTTCACCTGGTTCAACATCGCCAAATCAAGTCAGTGATTCCATTAATTGGTATGAAGAAATAAATAAAAATATATTTTTATTCGATTCTTTAGAAAAATTATTTCAAATATAAACAAAAAAAAATGTGAATTACATATTTGTTTCGTGACACTCTGTATATTCGAAATCGAAACAACAATACAATTTTATATCATAAATTTCAATGAATCAAAGGATATTTTCGTTTCTCGTTTTCGAGAAAAAAAAAATAAATTTTTTTTCACATCTTTATTTTTTTTATTTAATGGTAAGACAAATAGAAGATTTTCTATTTTCTAATGTACATCTTCGTACGTTTTGCTCATAAAGATGGGCATCTGTATCGGCATCGCGATGGCGAGTTCAATCACCACGACAGAGGATGCATTTTTGCGCGCGCGCATCTCGAGAACACACCTGAACGCGTCAAGGTGTTCTCACAACGGATCTCAAGCTTGGAACAAAGGAAAACGAGGAGCCTTCGATAGATAAATATGAATGTACTTATACATACATATATGTTGTAAGTACCTTGCGTGCTTATACACATTCGTGCATAATTGCTTCATGGACTCCGATCTATATTTTATTCTTTATTTTTTATATGTCATTATTAAGTTTTTACAAAATTATACATTCTTCGACAATAAGAAAAGTAAGGAAAAGAAAAAAATATGGATAATTCGTGAGACATTTAACTTTAATATCAACCAGCACGAAACGTCTTAAGATTACTATATAAGGCGTTCAATTTTCATTGATTTTTAGTACCATTATAATTGTTAATAATGTTAAAAATTTTGAAGATTATAATGAATAAAAATTAAAAGCAATAACATCAACAATATCTGAACAATAATCAAACCAATCTGAAGATTTTAAATAAGAATATCTACGTAAGGATTGATTGAACGAAACGTGACACCCTATAGAACGAATGAATAATCGAAGGGAAGGGAAAAAAAAGTCGAATCCTCGGGCCATTTCGTTTACCTTCACCTTCCATTTACCACGTGCGTTAAAGAACGCTCGCGCTCTTAAGATCGACATTAACGTGACTCCACATCAATCTCGTTGCTTTATAACAATAAAGATGTTTTCAAACTAAGGTAACATTTTCTTAACATAAAATCGTATAAGGATAAGAAAAAAGTGAGAGAAAGAGAGAAAGAATATAAATGAATTTTTAACATACCCGACAGCTGATTGGACGATCGAATTCGATCAGTTCTCATCAACCGTTTCGATTCGGTTCCACGTAAAAAAACGTTGCTTGTGAACGTAGCTTTAGATAGCCGGACGGCCAGCCGCTCGGGCGAAAGGAATAATCACGCATTCAAGTTAGTAGACACGGTAGTAAGAAGGCACATCGACGATCCCACATCTCTTTCTTTCTCTCATTCCCTCTTCGCCCCACAGGTCGTCGTCTTCGCTTCGTCGTTTCTCTTTCTCTCTCTCTCTCTCTCCCTTTCTCTTTCGAAAGAACCGTAGCCGTCCTGTTGTTGGGCTTCGTTCTTGGAAGAAACGAAGCACAAATATAAGATACGAAGAGTCAGAGTCGGGCACTTGATCGGTGCGCTCGGCACTCTGTCTTCTCATTCATCCTTTCGCGCTCCTCCTCCTTCTCCTCCTCTAGCGCCACCACCACCTCCCTCCCCCCTTTCTCCTTTTCACCTCTCTCTATCACAGTCCAATGGACTGTGATCCACGTTCTCCAAGTCCGCGACGTCTTCAAACACCTCTATCCTACCCCGTAACGCTAAACACGTTAGGCTCGCATGCCTCGCAAGCCACAAATTGATAAACGCAACTTTCCAGAGAATTTTTACGATTAGACGAAAGAGTAGCAACAGCAGCTACAGTCGCGAGCCGCGCGAAACTGAGAACGGAAACGGAACAGTCCTTGCCGTTGTCCCTATTATCGCACCGCACGCCTTTACTCCTACCTCTTCTAACTCGCTCTAACCGTGTCATAACTTTGCCTCATGCACTTTTAAAGACAACTTTCCGCCTTCCGTTTAAGAAGGACTAACGTCAATACACAAGGAGAACAATCCTTGCACTTTGATGGCTCAGAACTTTCGATAATTTATTTTGAAGGGTCACGAAGAACAATCGGCGCTCCTATGCAGTATAATGTCTGCATCATCCTTCCTTCTTTCATCCTTTCTTAGAACCATTCACCCGTTTCTCTCTTCCTTCCTTTCTCTACCTATATCTCGATGTTCAATTCACCTACAAGAACACGTCGTTCTCATGGAACATCGAACGCAAATCATCTATCCCTTACTCCAACCGAACCTAGCGTCGCACTGAGAATGCACGATGCGATGGCAACCGTCAAAGTGAAAGCCCGCTCATCTAAGAGTGACCTCTCTTGGATAAAAATGCAAGTTCTATTCTTTATTTACTTGTTCGGTTGATATCCTCACATTTGTTGTGTTATCAATATTTAAAAATTTTTTTTATATCTTCATTCAGAATAATTGAATCTTTGATTAATAATAAAAAACTTAACATCAATAATTATTGGGAATACAATTATTTTTGTAATAATTCTCTTCTTTCTTGTTTTATCGATCAAAGATTTTATCAATGCGAATTCAAACTATTGAGCGCGGGATACCTAAAGTTTATCAGTTAAACTTATAATTTATATATTGTAATAAAATTTATAATTGTTGATAAAGTATATGGGGCAATATTGAATTTATTTGAAAAACAATATTTTCTATAATAATTATATTCCATAAGTTTCCCTGTATCAATAAACCGTTATAAACATTCGTGCAAATAAACAAATATTAATATTTATTTATTCATTGAATTATTACTAAACGATTATTGCGTATATGTATGTCGTATAGGCAAACCTTGATCATTTAAAAGATGATCTTTTGGACTTTCAAGGTACTTAGGGCCGTCTCCCACACCCGTATGTATCATGTATTTAATTTTACCTGGTTCTTGAACTTTACTATCTATTTTTTCTAATAAATCCTAAAAGTACAAATATTTTATTTATTCTATATATTTAAGAATTAAGTGAAGTACATACCTGTGAAATTTGTACTGTTTCTATAGGTAAACCTCTTTTATAATTGTTCAAATTATTATTGGCAGGAGGAAAATAATGATCTAAAATTGCCACTATTTGTGGAATATCCTTTTCTAATAAATATAAAACTGCATTTGGTCCTGCATCGTACGTATATGCTACCTATAATTTAATGTTATTAATATTATTATAATTAATTTAATGTTAATAAAATTATAGTATATAATCCTTGTTATAAATAAGTATAGATATATATGTGTAATACCTTTACATCATTAATTACAGTATTATATGAATGAATAAGATTTACAACTGCAAAAGAAATGTCATTCATGTATATAATAGAAGGATAACTATCTAGGCATACTGCATGCATTTGATTGGAATCTTTCATGGTAAGTTCTGCAAAGGTTGAGAAGTCTTTTTTCATAATAGCTGTCTGCATTTTTTCTGCCCGTTTTGGTACAATATATTTAGCACGGTAATGTAAAAGTTCAGAGGTATCCATAGTTCTCTTCATACCAACAGCACTAGAAACTTTTTTCTTTTCATCATTTATCTAAATGTGTATAAAATAATAATTAAAAATTGTCATGAAATACAGCATCATATTTTATATAACAAAATATCTTGAAATATAGCAATACATACAACTAATATCAAAGTCCTCATTTCTGGCCAATAAGATGCAGGTGCAATTTGTTTTGCTATACTGTCATCGCCGGTTTCACATGATCCCATATACCACCTCACAAAACCACCTATAGTACTTCGACACGCTGAACCAGATCCCACTCGTGCAATAGCACTAATATCACCCTACTCCGATATTATAAAAATATAGATTTAAAAAGAAAATCTCAATTTAAAAAAAATTACACATTTATATATGAATCAAGAAATTACCTCTACTTTATATAATTTTGCAAGAGCTAAAGCAAGACATGCATATCCTGCAGCACTAGAAGCTAAACCAGATGCGGTTGGGAAATTATTTTCTGAACAAATATGAAGTTTCCAATCCATTAACTCACTGGTAAGATTTGCTCTTTTTCTAACTTGAAAAAACATATTTATTATTATATTATTTTTAAATCAATTCTTTTATTGTATATAACAAACTTACTTTCAGTCAAACATTTTTGTAATCTTGAATTGTTAATATTTTCTTCGCTGAAATATATTAATATTTAATAAAATATTAAATATATTATATTAATTTAATTAAATATATTATATTAATTTAATTAAATTAATATATTAATTTAATTAAATTAATATATTAATTTAATAAAATATTAAAATAATATAAAATTTTAATACATAATATATTAAGATATAAAAATGGGTACATACTGTCCATTTAACCATATACAGTCTTCTTTGAAGTGTTGGCTGATCATAACAGTAGTTTTTGCACATAGCTACAATGAATATTCATAATGGATATTATTTAGATATATCTTATACATTTATTATTTATTAAAAATAAATATAACAAATTACCTGTTCTGTATTTAGACTCACACTTATCGAATCGTTAACAGGTAAAAGTAAATTTTCGTCACGTTTACTCCCTAAAAATAAATAGAACATAAATAAATTAATTAACAATCGACGACTCATAACTACAGTAGAAGATAGTACAAGTGAACATTTAAATATTTTATGCAATATGTTACACGTCATACTATTATATTTCACCATCATTATAATAAAAGACCCAGTTACTTCATATTTAAATTACTTTGAGTCATGAAATGAAAAGGTCAAAGATATTTTTTAAAAAGGAATAGAATTTTAATATAATATTCTTAAAATGATATGAAAACTAGATGCAATATAATTCAAAATGAAAAATACATTATCGATATAATTTATATCGAAATTTCAAAGAAAGAGAACCTATGTTGGCGAATATTTTTTATAAATATTTTATTTTATATAATACATATTAATGTTTTAGGAATAAAATAATATGTATTACGATAAAAAATTTTTTTTTCTAATAAAAAATATTGTAAGAATACGTACAATATTTAATAACAGCGATGTTAACAGGCGCAATACATGTAACGGTACCCATGACAATTTGAGAACACTAATGCGATAACCGAATCACCCCGATCACAGCGATACCGGAAAGTCACTGAGCATCATACTGCTAGTAACGAAATATTTTTCTTGTATATAATGTAATCATTTTCTCTTAAGTTACCCTTTTTCTATCGTCACGCACTACCGTTATCATATATCGAGTTTACCCGAACATAACCGAATCAAGCCGAACAAAATTTTTAGTAGGTAAATTTAAGTATTGAGTCGACAAATCAAATCGACTTAGCTTGATCACAAAATAAAAGTATCGATTCTTTGAAAATATAAACATATAAAAATGACTAAGAGATAATTTCAAACATTTATCATTTCCGAGTGGTCATATGAAGATAATAATAAAAAAAATGTAATAATAAAAAAATTATGGAATTGGAGGCAATAGGTAGCGACATATTAAATGGTTACTACATAAAAAAAATTATTTAATTCATAGTACATTTTATATTATACATAGAAGAGCAAATTCATGTTGCATCCGTCATCTCACACATACATACATATGATTATTCATAATAGCTCGCAGTTAACTTAAATAAAATATATCAATCTCTTATTTTGATGTCCTTTCACATGTAAATAAAATTAAATCTGAAACACACACAAATTATATATTTAATAATTAATAACATTGAAACATTTTTTTAAATCATAAATTTTATTAATTTACCTGCAAAGTGATTGTGGGAGACTGGATATTATTGGTCCATATCCTTGTGAATTATCATAAAGTTCAAATAATGGTGCTGCAACTAATTTGTAATTTTTTGGTACTGCGAACAAAGCTGAAAATATTAATTAGAAATAAAATAAGAACATATATAGTATATACATATAAAAAATTATATTCTCATATATCTTACCTTTTTCTTGTAATTGTACAAGGAACAACCTTTTATGTTCCTTTGGTTTAGTAATGTGAGGTGGAACATATGGATATTGAGGTGGTTCAAAGTTAGGTCGCCACCAATTTCCAATAGTATCTTCTATGACCCATTCTTGTTTAACACCATCTTGACGTCCAAATGTCTAGAAGTTAATTGAAGTGTATTGCACTTAACATATTTCCAATATTTTCATAAAATAGCATATAATACATTCTTCTTCATTTAGTCCACTAAGAACATGGTTACATTATATTTAAAAGTGTTTGATATTACATTGTTATTTTTTGTAATGGACAATTTTTTGAGAGTTGCCTAATATGTTCCTTACACAACCCACATTATATTGACATTAAGATGTCAGAAATATTCACTTGAGGAAATACTTCTGACATGCATTCCTTAAAAATACATAGTGAAAATGAAACAGCTGTTGTACATATATATATATTGATACTAACATTCACAAATTTGGCAATATATATATAATTAATCGAGTTTTGAATGACCTACTTTTTAATTAAAAAAACATTAGCCCTGCTGTGGTTCAATCGAGTATTTGTTACCTACTGAGAGTGAATTTAATTTCATACATTATACAGTATATAATTATATTTTTGTTAGTTATCAAACTTTGAATCAAAATCCAAGATAAAATGTAAATACAATCTTCTTAACGTTTTACAATCTTCATATCCAGTCTGTTTAGCGTCCATATTACATATAAAGAGCTGGATAAGAACAATGTTCTTAGCTAACCAGAGCATCCTAGAAGCTTTGTTTTGTAACTACTACGAACATCAATTTTTCCGGGCATGCAGCGCACTAAAAATAGAAAACCTCTTATAATAGTAAAATGAAAATTCCCTAGTTTGAGCTACAGGCCCGGTTACATAAGTTCTACATACATCTTTAAAATTCATACAATACGTTTATAATAAGACAATATTACAATCTAACATATTAAAGTGCCACTCCTAGCCACCCTGTAAGGCAGCATAAGGCGTCGTGGTAACTGTTACCTCAGTAAGGAGCCGTTTTAGGCCCTCTACCTCGTCTTCTCCTGCATTTAGTTCTCCACCAGGTCTAAAACAAAAAGAAATAAAAGCAAATTATAAATATATTACATCAACTAATAGATTTTATGATTAATAGTATACTTAATGTATATACTTACAATTTGAAGAATGTTGTTCCAAGCTGTAGAAGAAGGACATGGGGTAATCCATGTTCGTGGACCAAAAGTACGCCTTCCACACTCCGTCGCATTCCAATTTTGTCAAATTCATCTCTCATACGTTGAAACCTTGCAGGCACCGATGGATCTTTCTCAAAGAGTGGCTCTTTTGTTCCAAATGTATAGTTTGTCAAAGGATATCTATGATAAATGAGTTGTATTCGTCTGTTAGGCTTACTTCTTTAACCTTTAGTAAGTAAACTCAGCTTCTCCAAAATTATATCTTAAAGTAATAGGACAACATACAATATAATAATAATAATATAGGTACTCACAATGCAACAAACTTTAGTATCAAATGTTAAATTTCTAATGATTCCCTAATTTTCTTTTAAGCTAAAGATACTCATGAAATTGAATTTAATTATAATACATTTATAAGGAAATATTATTTTATTTGATTCTATGTAAATAATATAGATATTTAAGAACTATTTCTGATTTTTTATATAAAAAAATTTGAATATATTAAAATAATAAGATTAAATAATAATCTTATAATGCAAAAATATACAAGTATATATATATAATTTTTACTAAATTTCTCAAACCATTTCCAATTTTTATATTGACTCAATTTTTCTAATAATCAACAGTATCCTTAACTATTCATTTTACAGATTTATAAAGTTATTGTAAAATGAAAAATATCAATATTTGTATATAGTACCCAAATTTATTAACATTTATCATATTAAAAAAAAAAGAAAAGAAAAGTTCACCAATAAAATAATGTAAGTGTTATTGTTCATATTCATAAAAAGTGTAATCTACATAATTAAATATATTACAGTACCAATTTCAACATAATAGTACTGACAAGTTCTTATATCTACATACATGTAGCATTACCTTTTCACGATACATAATGTCCAATTAATGGTCATACTCTATATATTTTAAATATTCTTACATAGTAATAAAAATATAAACAGATTCAAAAAAATAGCGATAGTGAAATACCCATAAAGATAGTTGTAAGTTTGAAAATGTTTCACCGAAATTGAGCTATCTCTTACATAAATCTATCATGATATGTTTAATATGTTTATTTAAAATAAAGAAGGTTTAAAATACCTTCTCTTACGGGTATATTTGTAAACATCATCTTGATATCATTAAAGAGCACAGTATTATATGTTTAATTGTATGTAATTGAAAAATTATTATAGATATTAAAATTTCATTAACTTATTTCAAATTAAATTTTATCATGCAGTCTATAATCCTGCATAATATATGAAACTAGTTAATCATAATTAACAAGCCTTTCCAATAATAGACTGAAATTAGAAAACAAATTTGTGATACATTTCTTATTAACTTAAATAAATAACAATGCATAATAAATATTCCTAGTTATTATGAGGTACATACATAAACAATCTATAACGTATTCAATATAGAATACGGAACTGCTCTTTGCGCATATGACATATCCAAAAAAATTAATGTCTCTTATTTAAACTTTACAAAGATGAGATTGCTTAAAATGTAGGAAACTGTTAATTATAGTCTTTTCTCTCTATTCAGTTTATAATAATTCAGAGTTTCAGGACATATCCAGAAACTACCAATTAATGAGTTAATAACGCTTGTTCCACCCATACATTTATTACAAAGTAATACAATCAGATAATGTATGAATGTACAAAAAGTTTATTTATAATTGTGCAGGCTTTATATGAGACATGAGCAAATATATTCATTGAGAAACATAACAAAGATAGAATATTTTCTTTTAAAAATACCCATGATTATACATTGATGAAATAACGGTACCGACGAACGTTGATCTTTTTTTTAATTCTTTTAATGATTGTAAAGCAGGCAATATTCATTCGAAGTATATAATACATCGTGCAACGAACGCAAAAATTATAAGTTCAATACAATCCTAAGTGTTTTAAACAAATGGTATTATGAAAAGACTTGTGCGTTAATTGTTTATGAAGCGATATATTATGTACTCCTTTTAAAAACTAAGAATATAATTTTCATAATTTCATATTCTAATATATAATACTGTCATAAATATCATAAAAAATTTTTTGGAATAATATTAACCATCTTTCACACAAAAATTTCTAATATCGCTTACATAAACATTCAGAATATTCTTAACGAAAGGATGAACAGCCGTCTCATGGTTGTAACATACACATATATATGTATATAGTATAACGAAAGACTTTAGGAACATAGTATTATCGCTAGCGTCTCTCAACCCGGCCATAGTTGTTCTATAGGAGAGGCAGTCAAAGGAGATTACTCTAAAAAATAATGTGATTAAATCACGTATATGCTGCTCACTTACAAATTAACTGTCCTGTTGATAGTTACGGATTGATTCTGTACCACTTTTCCTTCAAAAGAACTGTTACTTGTTCTTCTTGGCCAGCCAGTGGCCTTACCTTGAGTTGTTCCCATCGCCATTTTGTTGACCGTAAATATGCTTTACAGCACAACCAAAAATAATGAACAACCCAACAAGCTCACCTCTGGCTTCGAACTGCTTCCTACCGTTTCTCTTAGATCTCTTAAGCCGCAGTCAAGCAACGTTGTCATATTTCTCACCAAAAATATTTGACAACGCAGCGATACAATCGATAGTCGAATTATATTTTTGTCCAATCTGAAAAAAGGAGATATTTATAAATCTACATTATTAATGAACAAAAATACATATTACCGTTGAAATCATTAATAAATCAATTAATAAAATAGTAATTTCTAATTGTCTCTGCTTGACATTTAGAGTTCGATATATCGATATTTATTCAACTAATTAATCATCAATTTATTAAACTTTATCGAATCAAAATCATCCTTGTTTCGATACTTGCATTCCATTGGTTAATCAATATAACGAAGATGTATAGTAGGAAAGGTGATCTGGATAAATAGCATAATCATTGCTTTTCAATTTTATAACATAATGACAAGATTTTCTAAAATTTTAGAACGGAAATGTTATACTTAGCATAATTAGGTATCATTTCCAATATCATTAGGTGAATTTTTATTCTAAAGGTAATTAATTATGTAAATTTATTCAAATTTACTAAATTCATATTATATATTGTATCATATTTATCTCTATTCATTTTTTTGAAGTACAATATTTTTAATTTATATTACTGAATCTATATGTACAAAAGTTTAATCTAAGCATAGATATTTTAGTACAATACTAATTATTTGTTTCAAATCTATTATTTTAGATTCGCAATACAGACATTTTCAAATGAATACAACGTCATTCTGTTCTTGATATACCCGTAGCTGAAGGTTTTAATGAAGTAGACCTTAAAGCAAAATGGATATATAAACAAGTATTTTGCCGATCTTCCATATTTTTGTTAAAGAAGCTCACTTAAATGAAGAAGCCAAAGAAAGGCCTACAAACTATTGGAGAAATTAAAAAGGCTTTAGATTTTATGCACAATCAACATTTGATGAAAGGAACTTTAAAATGTTGATTGCGCATAAAATCTAAAGCCTTTTTGAAGTGAAACTAACAAGGGTAAGTTGGCGATAAGACGAAGTGGAAATGAAATAAAAAAAATGAAGTGGAAATGAGAGAGGTATATAAAAATAAGATAAGAGAAAGTAAGATAGAGTATAAAACACGCGTTTTTATTTTCTTTGTCATAGATGAAATTGCAAAAAAATCAAATTTTTTGATTTTTTTCTGAAACACGGATAAATAATGAAGAGATAAATATTCTTATTTTGATTGTATCATCAAATTATTAAATCAAATTATTAAATCAAATTATTAAATCTAAGTATTAAATCTAGAGCTAGTTACAATTTATTATAATATCAATAACAAATGAGATTTAATTAGATTTAAATTAGATTTAAATCCCAAATTAGATTTAAATATTAATATTAATAAATAAAAATAAAAATGAAGTGGAAATGAAAGAGGTATATAAAAATAAGGTCAGAGAGAGTAAGACAGAGTATAAGATATGCGTTATAATTTTCCTTGTCATAGATGAAGTTGCAAAAAAATCTAAATTTTGGTTTTTTCTTTAAATAAAAATATTAAACAAACTGGATCATTTTCCGTAAATGTATCAAGCATTGGTGAACTAAGTGCTTATCAATGTATTTTAGAAAATGAAAAAAGAATTATCATAATTTGAAATAGCAACCTACAATTACAATTAATAAAATTATTTATTTTATCCATGAAATTTTAATTAAAATATTATTGACGGTGCACCATTTCATAGAAAAGATTATCTCAAAATATAAATTATTTTGAGTGGGAATTTTAATTTAAATTTTGGATCAAAACAATTGATACCTTTAATCACATTTTATGCGAAAAACTCAATTTAAACATTTCAAACAATCCCATAGAAGAGATAATATTAGAAACATGCATTATTTCAAAGATATCTCAATTGAATTAAAAAAAAATTTTTAATTTTTTTTTATTTATCATAAACTACTTGTTTCGTTTTTAAGAAATGACGGAATGAAAGTAGAATAAAACTATTTTTATATAAATAAAATGTTTTCGGTATTTTTAATATATAATATATAATAAAAGATTTCAGATTATAACAGTTCGAAATTCTCTCTCTTTCTCTCTCTCTCTCTCTCTCTCTCTCTCTCCCTCTCTCTCTCTCTCTCTTTCTCTCTCTCTCTCTCTCTCTCTCTTTCTATATTTAAAATTCAACAGTAAAACAAGGAATATATGATGAATTAAAATTGAAAAACTAAATTAACTACAGGAATTTACTTTTATTATGTAATATTGTGTGATAAATACACAATATGTTCATTTTTTTAAAAGATTCAAACATTAACTGCTATGTAAGTGGTATTGTTATTCGTAAAATATCATAAAATGTAGATTTCAAAACGGTAATCAAATAGTATGTAATAATTTTAGAAAAAGAAAAACATTTCAAAATGTTTTCATATACACAATAAATGTGAAGAAATTTGTGTATTATAAACAAATATTAAACTTTTTGAATTTGAATAATAAAACAAGTATCTCAATGCGCATATATTATATGCCAAATAAAATTTGTCGAAAACAATATTTTGACAATCAAAGAACAAGAATTTGGAGAATATATTCTCTTGAATTTTTGAATACGTTAATCATCATTGAGAGACCAATCAATGTTGGAGAAAGTATTTACAGAGTTTCAAGTTTATAAGTTTAGCATATTGTTCGAAGTTTAAACCAATGAGAAGACGATTGCTTAGTGATGCCGCTTCCGATTGCGAACGACCAATCAGCATCATTCGTAATTCCAGTGCTTTTATCGTCAACCGCGTTTGTACTCGTGTAGCGAATTGGAAGTAGGACACAGACACATTTCGATAATAGGATTCAATGGGAATGGACGAACGTTTGGATCACAGTGCATTATTGACAAGAGTGTATGTTCTCGTATATTTTTTTAATAAATCTTTTTAAATAAAAATATAGAAACGAACTATATTCATAATCAGTGAAATATTCACTTTTCATAACCACGTGATCTAAGCACGTTAACAAATCGACACAATAGGAGCTTCTTCAAAATTTACAGCTTCTTCGAAAATTCTTTTCGAATTTGTCTCATATTTGCAACTCATTTTTGAGATATCCTTTCTTCAAAAATGGCAGATTTTTTAGATTCTGAAGCGGAAGAAAGCGAGGTTAGTGTTTTAATATGTTTCTTATTGTAATTTACCGTATTATAACATTCTTTTGCACTCTAAAGTTAACCTTATGTTGCTGTTTTAGGAGGAGGAGGAACTTGATCAAAATGAGAAAAAGAAGCTCAAAAAAATAAAAGCTGTCGAAGAAAGTGACGAAGAAGATGAAGGTCAGTGAAAAAATCAGTGAAAATGTACTATTATAATTATTTATAACTAGACATGTTGGATTTTTTTGCTACTTGCTTAGAATTAATTGTAGTCAATAAATTAGTTTCTATTATTCAGATGACGAAGAAGAAGTCCAAGACTTGATTGATGACAATCCAATAGATGAAGAAAGTGATGCAGAGGACAGTGATACTTCTGGTGGTACAAAAAAGAGAAAAAAGAGTGATGATGAAGATTTTGATGATCGACTGGAGGAAGAAGATTATGATTTGATAGAAGAAAACTTGGGTGTCAAACTTGAAAGAGTAAGTAGAACATAATCCTTACCTTAAAAAAAAAAAAGAAAAAAAAAAAACATTAAGACCATTTTTTATTCATTTTAGAAACGTAGATTTAAACGTCTAAGAAGAATACAAGATGAAGAATCAGAAGATGAACAGGAAAAGGAACCAGAAGAAGAGCGAGATGCTATTGCAACTGAGTTATTTGAAGGCTCTGGTGATGTAAGTATTAAACAATTAATTTTATTTTGTCATTTAGAACTATTCTACATTTATGTATATATACATATATATATTTATTTATCTGCATCTATAAGGAAAGAGATGTCTTTATGGTATGTATTTTTTAATTAAATGCAAATGAATATTAAATCAACAAAATATATGTAAAACTATAATTAGATTCATTAAGAGTATTTCTTTTTTTTGTCATTTAAGAGAATTTCTTTTTTACATCTATATGTTTTATTATGCAGGAAGAAGAACGACGAAGTGAACGTAGTCATAGACCAGAAGTGGAAACTCTTGATGAAGAAGGAAGTGAAGGTGATGATGATATGAATGATTTTATTGTCGATGAGGATGGAAGATCTCTTGCAGAAAAACGTATGAAAAAGAAACCAATATTCTCAGATGCGTAAGTATTAAAATCATATACATTACATATTATATTATATACATACAGTAAAATATTAATTTATTTATATTGCAAACAGTGCACTACAAGAAGCACAAGATATTTTTGGGGTAGATTTTGATTTTGATGAGTTTGGTAAATTTGGAGAAGAAGATTATGAAGAAGAAGAAGAAGAAGAAGAAGAAGATGAATATTTGGATGATGATGTTGATGAAAGACCAAGAAGACCAAAGAAACAATTTAAAAAGAAAAGCACAAGGAAAAGTATTTTTGAAATATATGAGCCAAGTGAGCTGAAGAGAGGTCATTTCACAGACTTAGATAATGAGGTACTTACTTAATTGAAATAGTTTGTATTTTATATTAAATATTATAGTACAACACTAACTATTTTTTTCAAATACATTATAGATTCGTAATACAGACATTCCCGAACGAATGCAACTTCGTTCTGTTCCCTTTACACCTGTAGCTGAAGGTTCTGATGAATTAGATCTTGAAGCAGAATGGATATATAAACAAGCATTTTGCAGACCTACTATCTCTGTTCAAGATGCTCACTTAAATGAAGAAGCTAAAGAAAGAGCTAAGAAAGGTCCACAAACTATTGGGAAAATCAAAAAGGCTTTAGATTTTATGTGCAATCAAAATTTTGAAGTCCCTTTCATCTCATTTTATAGAAAAGAATACGTACTTCCAGAGCTAAATATCAATGATTTATGGAAAGTATATAAATTTGATGCCAAATGGTGTCAGTTACGTCAACGAAAAGAAAATTTATTGAAATTATTTAAAAAGATGAGAAATTATCAGTTGGATGAAATTATGAAAAATCCTGATGCTCCATTACCTGATAATGTGAGAGTAATAAAAGATGATGACATTGAACGTCTTAAAAATATTCAAACAAGCGAAGAATTAAATGATGTTTATCAACATTTTATGCTTTATTATAGTCATGAGATACCAGCTATGCAGGAAGTTGTACGCCAGAAAGAAAGAGAAGCCCGTCGTGAAGCTAGAATCCAAAAGAGAAAACAACAAATCGCTGAAGCAGAAGAGAATGGTGAAAATCCTCCAGAAGAAGATATAGAAGCAGCAGAAGAGGAAGAAGAACCAGATGAAACATTAAAACAAGCAGTGAGAAGTGGACCTTACTCTACATGCAGAAAAGCAGGTTTAGATGCTCTTGCTAAAAAGTTTGGTCTTACTCCTGAACATTTTGCAGAAAATCTTCGTGATAATTATCAACGTCACGAAGTGGATCAGGAACCTACAGAACCCATTACGGTTGCAAATGATTTTTGTAGTTTAAGATTCAAAACCCCAGATGAAATTCTTAAAGCTGCACAATTAATGGTTGCAATGCAGTTGGCACGTGAACCATTAGTACGCAAATGTGTCAGAGAAATGTATATGGAAAGAGCAAAGATATCAATAAGACCTACAAAGAAAGGTATTAAAGAAATAGATGAAAACCATCCTATATACTCTATGAAATATCTTAAAGACAAGCCGGTGCGTGATCTTGTGGGAGATCAGTTTTTAAAATTGATTATAGCTGAAACAGACAAACTTATTACTATTTCGCTTAGTGACACAATAGAAGGAAATACAACAAGCAATTATGTTGATGAAATGAAGCAGCTTTATTATAGAGATGAATTCAGCAAAAATGTTCAAGATTGGAATGCTTTAAGAGTAGGAAGTGTAGAAATGGCTCTGAATCGTATGGTAATACCACTTTTGAAAAAAGAATTAAGAACAAATCTTGTTATAGAAGCAAAGGAATGTGTAATGAGAGCATGTTGTCGTAAAATGTATAATTGGATTAAAGTAGCTCCATATACTTGTGAATTCCCTGAAGAAGAAGATGAAGAATGGGACACAAGTAAAGGTCTTCGAGTGATGGGTTTAGCTTATGTACCTGATTATTCTCAAGCTGCTTTTACGTGCATAGTTTCTGCTGATGGTGAATGTACAGATTATGTAAGATTACCACATTTGCTGAAGAGAAAAAATAGTTTTAGGGAAGATGAAAAAGTCATGAAAGAAGCTGATTTATTAGCACTTAAAAATTTTATTGCAACAAAAAAACCTCATGTGGTTGTCATAGGTGGTGAATCAAGAGAAGCATTAATGATAGCATCTGATGTAAAGGAATGTATTTCGAATCTAATGGAGGATGAACAATTTCCCGGCATTCAAGTTGAGATATGTGAAAATGAACTTGCTAAGATTTATTCCAATAGTAATAAAGGTATATCTGAATTTAGAGATTACCCAGAATTACTACGACAAGCTATATCTTTAGCAAGAAGAATGCAGGATCCTTTAGTAGAATTTTCTCAATTATGTACTGCAGATGAAGAAATACTATGTCTTAAATATCATCCATTACAAGATCAGCTTCTTAAGGAAGAGCTTTTAGAAAATTTGTATTTAGAATTTGTGAATAGAGTAAATGAAGTTGGTGTTGATGTTAATAAAGCTGTGCAACAAGCTTATTCAGGAAATTTAGTACAATTTATATGTGGCTTAGGTCCTAGAAAAGGGCAAGCATTAATTAAAATATTGAAACAAACTAATCAAAGATTGGAAAATAGAACACAACTTGTAACAGCCTGTCATATGGGACCTAAAGTGTTTATCAATTGTGCTGGCTTTATAAAAATTGACACAAATAGTTTAGGAGACAGTACAGAAGCATACGTAGAAGTATTAGATGGTTCAAGAGTGCATCCTGAAACATATGAATGGGCAAGAAAAATGGCAGTAGATGCTTTGGAATATGATGATGAGGATGCAAATCCAGCTGGTGCTTTAGAAGAAATTCTAGAATCACCAGAAAGATTGAAAGATTTAGACTTGGATGCATTTGCAGAAGAATTAGAAAGACAAGGCTTTGGCAATAAATGCGTTACATTGTATGATATTAGAGCTGAATTAAATTCTAGATATAAAGATTTACGTATACTATATCAATCTCCAAGTCCAGAAAAATTATTTGATATATTAACTAAAGAAACACCTGAAACATTCTATATAGGTAAATTGGTGTTAGCAACAGTGGTTGGTATAAGTCATAGAAAACCACAAGGAGAACAATTAGATCAAGCCAATCCAGTCAGAAATGATGAAACTGGTTTATGGCAGTGTCCATTCTGTCTTAAGAATGATTTTCCTGAGCTTTCAGAAGTGTGGAATCATTTTGATGCAGGAGCTTGTCCAGGAAAGGCTACAGGTGTAAGATTAAGATTAGACAATGGAATATCTGGCTATATTCATATTAAAAATTTATCTGATAAACATGTTGCTAATCCTGAAGAAAGAGTAAGCATAGGCCAAGTAATTCACTGCCGCATTATCAAAATCGAAGTAGAACGTTTTAGTGTGGAATGTACGAGCAAAAGCAGCGACCTCGCGGACAAAAATCATGAGTGGAGGTAAGATATCACATTTAAAATTTTTTTATTAAAATAATTATTAATATTATCAATATTATTTAATACATTTATTGTATTCATTTTTAGGCCACAAAGGGATCTTTATTATGATACAGAGACACACGATCAAGATGTAAAGATAGAAGAGGATGCTAAGAAAGTGAAACAACGTCAGACATACGTAAAACGTGTTATTATACATCCATCTTTCCATAATATTAGTTTTGCAGAATCAGAGAAGTTAATGCAAAATATGAAACAAGGAGAAGGCATAATAAGGCCAAGCAGTAAAGGTGCCGATCACTTGACTGTAACGTGGAAAGTAACAGATAATATTTATCAACACATTGATGTAAGAGAAGAAGGCAAAGAAAACGCATTTTCCTTGGGACATAGTTTATGGATAGGTAATGAAGAATTTGAAGATCTAGATGAAATAATTGCTAGACACGTCAATCCAATGGCTGCATATGCTTCGGAATTATTAGATTTTAAATATTATAAAGCAAATGTGGAAGGTGTAAAAGATAAAGCCGAAGATATATTGAAAGAACAAAAGAAACAAAATCCAGGAGGAATTCCATATATTATATCTGCAGCTAAGGTACGATTAATATGTGAAGTATTACATCATATTCTTTTCTCATAAATCATAAACGTTTCTCTAGCTTTACTTCTTATGTTTCAGAATTATCCAGGAAAATTCCTCCTTTCATATTTACCCAGAATTCGATGCCGTCATGAATACGTTAGCGTTTCACCAGATGGCTTTAAATTTAGAGGACAAATGTTTAGTAGAGTTAATGATTTATTCCGTTGGTTCAAAGAACATTTTCGAGATCCAATACCTGGCCAATCTACACCAGGTACTCCACATGGTGCTTTGACTTCCAGGACACCGTATCATACTACACCTGGTGCAGTTACAGGTACTTTGCTATTTACTAGTCATTATTTATATAAGAATATACATTTTATTATTAAATATATATATTATGCTTCAGGAATGAATCAAGATGCAATACAAAGAGTGGCACAAAATTTACCACATCATATGTTGCATTCCTTGTCGCAAGTAGCAAATCAGACACCACATCATTATCCACCACATACTCCAGGGGCAGCTAGTACCACAGCTTATGGTGGAATACATACGTATCCAAATACACCTTATACTCCTTCTGGACAAACTCCATTCATGACTCCATATCAAACACCCCATCATACTCCACATCACGCGCAACAAACATCAAACCATCATCAAGGTCAATTCTTACATCCAGTATCGTCTTCGATACCATCTGTAACTCAAAGATCAATGCGATCTCACAGACCTACTCCATCTATGTCTACACCCTCATCTGGGGATGCCATGGATTGGAGTAAAGCAGCAGAAGCATGGGCACGTTTGAAACAATCCACTCCACGAGGATCGTAAGTCAATCCTATTTATGATCTTATAAAAATTAATTATAAAAAAATTCTCTCATTAAAATCTTATTACAATTTTTTTCATTTTTTATTTTAATAATGACAGCACTCCAAGGTACGAGGAATCTAGGAGAACACCAAGAAATTATGAAGATTCCACTGGAAGGACAACTCCAAGAAATAGAACTCCGTCTAATCGCACGCCATCCTATAAATCACCACGAGGCACACCATTTACCAATTCTAGTCCACGAAGTATGTCTCTTAGTGGAGATGGTACTCCTTTATACGACGAAAGTTAACCCATTAAGGTTAAGATTAAATTAAATCATGGATTAACGAATGATTAATATGTACAATTGGTATAGACCTTCATACATTTTTCATGTATTTTATATAATGGCGAATGGTGATGTATGTGTATAAATGTGTGCGTGTGTGTAAAATATACTATATAATAAAAAAAATTTTAATCGTAAATAGTAATTATTGGTTTTCTCAACTATTTCTTTATTTTGATTAATATTTTACTCTAATTCTAATTCGTCTGTATATAATGCTTTATTTATTATGAAAGTACTTCAAGATATAAAATGGAAAGAACGTTGTCTTCATGGAAAATCATCAAAACCAGTTTTCTACCTCTTTTCCATATTTGGGAACACATTTTTAAAGCCTGTATAGAGATACAACGGTCACTACTACCCACGCGTTCAAGCATTCGTTATAAGAGGCGCAGACATGATTCATTCGGAATGAATTTTTTTTTGGAAATTCAACCGTTAACTGCTATGAAAAAATACTATAGTTTTTATTATTCTCCAGTATAAACATGAGAAAAATGTAAATAAAATCTAGATTTCAAAACAGTTATCAAACATAATATATTATAGTTTAAGAGAAAAAGGAAATATTTTTCAAATGTTTTTACGTATAACAACTTGTGAAAAAATTTGTTTAATAAAAACAAATATTAAACTCTTCGAGTATGAATAAAAAGAAAACAATCATTTCAATGCACATGTATTATACGCGAAAGAAAAGTCATTGAAAACGTAACGTTTTGACAATCAAAGAGCAAGAACTTTGAGAATTATCTCCTGCTGAGTTCTTGAATACATCAATCATCATTGAGAGACAAATCATTTCGCGCGTAGAAACAACGTCGGTCGAAGTGTTTACCGCGTATCAAGTTTATACGTTTAACATACCATTCGAAATTCAAACGGGCCAATGAAAATAAGAGTGTTCAGTAGTGCCATTCCCGATGGCGTTACGATCGCGGACATTGACCAATTGGGGTCGTTCGTATTTCCAGAGCTTTCATCGGTAATCGCATGTGTGTTCGTACGTGTAGCGAATCGGAGGGCAACAGTGGGACACACGATAAAAGCAGCCAGCGGAGACGGACCAACGTTCAGATCACAGTGCATTATTGACGAGAGTGCGTGCAGTTTCTTCTTTATTTTTCATTATAAAAAAAACTACAATTATCTCGACGAAACGAGCTTCATCATAATTCATCTTTACCGTTGAAATAATAATTTCAAAAGGTAAGTCCAAAGAAATAGAATAACCCATGAAGCTTGAAGAACGACAGTGGCGTCGTAATTACGCGATCATTTAAGACAAAGAAATTCTTTTATTCCTTTACTTCCTTCCCAATTAATATCGTTCACTTTTTCCTTCTAACAAATACGTACAAGTCTTATAACGATATTCTTGTTTTAACATTAATATTACAATCGGTTTACTTTATACAATTTATAAGAAGGATCATGACGTTATTAAAAAAAGTCAGAGAGACAGACGATGTAACAAGGGATGCACAAACCTCTTTGTATTACATTTTACTGAAACGCTTAGTAGCGGACGTATTTGCCGCGTCGACTGGACAAAGAAAGACTTCTCACTGGATTTCTCAGTTTATCTTCCGAGGAAACGATCGATTCTTTCGTAATGTTGATACGCGACTGCAGTGTTCCTTTCGTTCGATTTATACCGTAACACTGCGGCATGTTTCCGTTGCGATCATGCGTATTAGACACGATCATGACTTTCTTTTTTTTTTTCTACACTTTCGAAAGAGAGGATGTACTTTTCTTTTTTCTTTCTTTTTTTGTATTCTTTCAGAAAGACAGACGCCTTTAAATACTTAAGTATGCACTTACTAATCTGTCCATAAACGGAACAACCATTCCCTTGCAAGTTTTGTTTTCGATCATAACTATCGATCATTTTTTTTTTTTTAAATATACATGTCATTATTCTATTAATCATGGGAAAGATTTAAGCCAATTTGAAACGAATCAATTGCCAATGCCATTAATACGAAACAATTGATAGAATTATTTTTGATTTTATTTTTAAGTATATAAATATATTTATGTAGTATAGCATATACGTATAATTTTCGAACAAAGAGACTCCTTGAGTACACTATAAAAGGATAATATAAAAAAAGCATCACATAGAAAGTGCATCGAAGCGAGCAGGCAGTACAACATATAGCGTCTTTATTTCTCAAGCCAATCTCTTTGTTCGCCTTCGGGTTTTCACACGTTGAAGAGCCGGAGACCTCGATGGCATCGTTATAACACGACGAAGGACAGGCACAAATCTTATTATGTTTGTCATGTGTCCTTTATGTATATGTAGATCTATGTTCTCTATTTGTGTGCGTGTGTGGGCGAACTAGTAAGGGTAAAGGGAAAATAAAAGAAAAAAATATACGAAGCTATCGGGAGTTAGAGTCCGGCGGATATGCTTTAATAACGTGACTTCCTATTCGTTCACGATCGATATCTAATCAACCGATGCAATTTTAAATTGCAGGTAAACATCTAGCTATGGCTACCGCAGCAGAATCACCCATCACCAACGAATGTAAGTCGAATAATAATAATAATAACGAAAATAAGATTTCGCGTAATCGTCCATGTTATTATATTAAAACGTTTTTCTCAAGTAATATTGTCTTCTATTTACGTTAATGAGATTTTGATTGATATTACGAATGGTGTCATCGATTTTATCGTGAAAAAAAATTATCGAGAGAATGTAATTATCGATTCTCATTTTATCGAGAAAAAGAGAAAAGATTTTAAGAAAAGAAAAATAGAAAAAAAGCTATGCAATGATGCGCAACGAGTTTCCAGTGAGTCGTCGATGCGTGGCGACTTTTCTGACTAAGGATCCTTAATTAGAATCAGACAATTTAGGTGACGGTAGGAACACACCCTAAAGATTGCAGAAAACATTGCGCGGATAGTCGCTGCGAAGAGAGAGGGGGAGAAGGTCAGAGCCCTCTATTGGTGTCCTCGGAGGAGTGCAGGCTACGTTTTACCGTGGCAACTGCAGTACGAGTCGACTGCTGCAGTGGTTGTACGAGTTAGCCTATGCCTGTCTCTGCTTGCTTACTTGCTTTTCAGGGGTTCTCATCCTTCAGCTAGAATGGACCACAGAAAATGTCGTTAACCTTTATCGATTCGTTATCAACTACTTGCTTTCCCAGTCACCTTCGGCGATATTATTAACGAACACATAGATGTTACATGAACCGAAGTTATCTTCATAGCTGACCTTTCATATCTTTGATCTCGATCTAAAAATCTAGAATCAAAGGAGGAATAGAAGACGAAGAAATTAAATTAAATATTCGTCCACGAATAAAAGGAATGATAACTTTTTTCAACTTTAGAACAGAATATCGAATTGATTTCAAAGACTAGGTATATATCGGCCGCGGTAAATGGAATTCAAGACGAATGCTGCGGTTCTGGCACGTCTCTTTCGAGGGGCCTCAGCTGCTGAAAGTGAGACGTGTATCGATCGTAGGAACCAGAAATAAAGACTAAGGAAAAGAAAGAATGAGATATCCGGCATTACGTTCTGAACGTGACAAAGTCGAGTTAGATACTTTGACGCTTAACATTCTGAAAGTGTACCGTTTTTATATTGTTCAATTTATCAAATTGTTCTTTTCATATCATATTTTATTACAAATTATCATATAAATCTTTTAACTTTATTTTTTAAGATTCGTAAATCTATTAAAATCAAATATGTTGGAATATTATCTTTTATTTCTATCGAAAATAACAGAGCTTCTGGTCCTCCTATACAAAGAAACTTGTAAGTTCCCCTCCATTTAAAAACGAGTCAGCGTGATAAAAATGTATAACCTTACTGAACGACAAGACATCTCTCTTTTCCTTTTCTTGTTCTGACTGCTCTCCCAAGTTTTTCAACGGTTCATTGCTTTATGGAATCCAATTAAACGCTAACATTCAAGAAAATGTACGCTATTAATTAAAGAAAATGTACTAGTTCGTTGATGTTGTTATTGTTTGTATGTATTTTCTATCGTTTTTATTACGTTGTTCTTGATCGTTCTTGGGAGTCTTCGTTGACTACAACGACAGTCACGAATAATTTCCCATGATTGCATGATCTACCTAACTCCATTTTGTTTACATAATTCAATCGATCTATTGGATATTGTCGAATGGGGAAGCAAGCAAGCAAATGAACAAACAAAAAGTGAAGTAGTTTTATAAGCCTAACCTATTTTTTGTAGCTTTACTCAAAAGAACTCAGATAATTCGAACTAATTTAATATAAATGCTAAAGTAGGCTAATCTAATTGAGAACAGAGAACATTTTATAACGTAGGTAAATACTTTTTGCGTAAATGTTTTTATAAATATTTCGATAAATTGATTTACACGCAACGACTGTAATATATATATATATATTATATATATATATATATATATATCCTATATCTTTTGAGTGTGTGTATGTATGTGCGCGCGTGCATGTATGTATGTGTACTATATATAAATATACAAGTTCAGAGACAAGTTTACTACCGTCACGGTGGCAGTTATCGTAAATATGTTACTCTCTTTTTATACGTAGTTGGGAAAGTACGAGCTCGAGTTTTTAAATTTCTCCAAGTTCAAATTGGAGAATATTCCCTCTGGAATACCAATAAATTTTTATGAAATTAACAAATCGAGTTTTTCTAGATATTTCAATGATCAATTCTTGAATTCTTTTCTTTATTTTCAAGTTTAATGATCGTTAATATGATTAAAAATTTGAATCCTCTTCGTGTTTTCAAGAAAAAAAAAAACAAAAAAAAAACAAAAAAAAAATACGGACAACGCCCAAATGTTGTGATACGAAAGAAAAATTCTTCGAAAAAGAAGAAGAAAGAAAACCAAAAAGGAAGGAGAAAAAGAGGGTTGACAGTTCACTGCCAAATACGAAGCTCCTCCAGAAATCTTTTCGAAAGCGTGCACGAACAAGTTGATAAAGGAGAAAAGAGGGTTGAAGGGAGAAAGGGGAAGGGTGTTATGGTGTATGGGCTGGGAAGGAAACGAGAGGAAGGGTGGAAAAATTGCGTACGAATTCTACTGTGGTACTTGGGTGACTCTCGCAGTAGGCAATAGCGTAATAGAGAGAGGGGTTGG